CCTACATACCTACTTGGCTACCTACTTAGCTACCTACTTCTCAGCTACCTACTCAGCTACTTACTCAGCTACCTACTCAGCTACTTACTCAGCTACCTACTCAGCTACCTACTCAGCTACTTACTCAATTACTTAATCATCTACGTACTCAGCTTCCTACTCAGCTCTTTACTCAAGTAAATCAATCTGGAGTCTTAAATTGAACTTTGTTCAATTTACCAATCTAGTTATTCTTCCTCTTCCTCCTTACAAGATTTCTCACCAACTAGAAGAGCTTACTTTAAGCTGCTTACATGATTAACTAGGGAATGTATCTGGGATGATGGGAAATTAGGTCAAATTTTTATCTAGGTCAAAGGTCAAGAACTAGGTCAAATCTTGCATTTTCAACATTCTTTCAATTATCTTCGTCGTTATTTATTGAAACAACTTTGTCTTTTTTTCATCATGTAGCTTAGAAACAGCTCTTTCAAAGATATGCCATCAGATTTTTAATTACTCGTACCGATTTTGAGATATGGCGTCCGGAAAGTAGGTCAGAACAAAAAGTTCTCCAAATTCAACATGTGAGCTATGAAATAAGTGTAGAATGATCTCAGGAACCTGAATCTGCAAACAAAATTTCGATCCGACATCTAGTACGGAAGTTATGGCGTTTTGAAAGCTCAAAAATCGCTAAATTTGGTGCCCATGTTAAGTCAATGGGAAAAAAGATTTTTTTGAAGTGAAAAATACGAAATATAGACTGAGTTCAGCTAAATATAATGGAAGCTTTTGAAAGAAGGGGACCTCAAAAGGCATCTAGCTTAAAAATTTGGACACAAAAATGCCTAGGTCAAAATCTAGGTCAAATTCAAAGTTTTCCTTATTTTTGCGATTCTGACACTACACTTGAATTATATTCTTCGAAATTGTGTATACATGTAGCCAAGAGTGTGCTAATAGTGTTAGCCTTTTGCCGTCAGGAAGTATTTTGACCCACTTTTGAGATATGGTGTCCCAAAAGTAGGTCAAAATAAAAAATTCTTCAAATTTAACTTATGAGTTATGAATTAGGGGTAGAATTTTATCAGGAATCCGAATCTGCAAACCATATTTCGATCCGACTTCCGGTTCGGAAGTTATGGCGTGTCCAAAAAGTAGGTCAAAATAAAAAAATCTAAATTTAACGTATGAGTTATGAATTAGGGGTAGAATTTTGTCAGGAATCCGAATCTGCAAACCAAATTTCGATTTGACTACTTGTTCTGAAGTAATGGCGTTTTGAGATCTCAAAAATCGCTAAATTTGGTGCCCCATGTTAAATCAATGGGACCGAATAATTTTTTGAAGTGTAAAAATACGAGATAAAGAATGAGTACAGCTAAACATAATGAAAGCCCATAGAAGAAGGGGACCTCAAAAGCTACACTTTCCTTCAAAGTTTGGACACCAAAATACCTAGTTCAAAAGATATATGAGATATGGTGTCCGAAATGTAGGTCAAAATAAAAAATCTCCAATTTTAAAGTATGAGTTATGAATTAGGGGTAGAATTTCCTCAGGAATCCGGATCTGAAATTAAAATTGCAATCCGACCCCCGGTTTAGATTCTACGCCATTTTGAAGTTTGAAATTCGCACTTGCCAGTATTCACGATGCAGATTGATCAAATATACTTTCAAAAATTCCTGCATACCCTACTTTACCTCTCTACCTACTCAGCTACTTATTTGACTACTTACTCAATTACTTAATTAGTTATTACTTACTTAGCAACTTACTCAGCTACTAACTCAGGTACTTACTCAGCTACCTACTCAGCTTTTTACTCAGTTACTTACTCAGCTACTTACTCAACTACTACTAAGGTACTTACTCAGCTAATTACTCAGTTACTTACTCAGCTCTTTACTGATCTATCTAGGTAAAATAAATCTGGAGTCTTAAATTGAACTTGTTCAATTTCACAAATCTAGTTATTTAATGATAGCTCGTTTTTCATCTAAAAGTCGTCAGAGTAAGGAGAAATGTTAGAAGAAACAAAAAGTTCACGACCTTGACACGACCTTGAAGATCGCTGGTTGGTAAAATGTGAAAACAACTCTTAATTTGAATATTTCTTTCATTCATTTCGGAGAATTTTGATATAACATTAGTAAAGAATTGTGTGAAAAGGACCAAATGATAGATATTTATCGGGAGAATGCATAGAATTACAATATATGTCATTTTTATCCAGTTTTAGCGGAAGCACTCTATTATCGCCCACTTTACTTTCACTTTATAACAAAATATGAGGGACGCAAAAAAAATTAGACGGGACTCACATTTTTCAAATGTGTTGCGTCCCTGGGACTCAGAAATTTAAATGGCTAGCGTGAACACTGCAATGTTTTCCAGATTTGCATTGTTAAACTTCATACATAGCTAGACTAGAGGGGGGTAGGTACGAAAAATTTCCAATGAACATGCGTGACACATACGGGATTCGCGTGACAAATACGAACAAATTGCGTTCGGTTTTTCCCGGCGTTCGTATTTTTACCGTATCGTAAACATATTTCGAAAAAATTTCTGCAGAAATATTTTTGCTTGACAATTACCAGGTAAAATGCATATTTTGCGTGACATTTTCTGTCACGCAAAAAAAACTGGCGTGACTTCAAATTCTTCAGCAAATGCGTGACAAATACGCAAATTGCGGGACAGTTGACAGGCCTGTATGTGTAGCGCGGCCAATTTTGGCTTTGAGCATAAAACATGGAAATTGGTCAATCTGAGAGGAAAAAAACATGGAAAATCGTGTTTGAAAGTACCCCTTTTCAGTCAAAATTCAGTCTTTCTTAAAAAAATTGTATCAAATTCGTTAAATCTGCAGTTGCTAAGGCCTGGAACAAATCACTACAAAAATCATTTTTTAGTCAATTATAAGTCTCAGAGGAATTAAACATGGAAACCTCCAATTTTGAGAGGAAATTGACATGGAAGAAATGCTCAAAAATGGGGTCTTTGGGGCGGCACATAGGTATTAAGAAGTATATTGGAGTTGTTTTTTTTTGTTTTTTTTTAACATATTATTTATTTCCTTCATAATCAAAAAATACACAAAATATCTACTACCAATCGCCATAGGCATTCTAGGTAGTTTAAATTACAATAGAGGATTAATTACAGTAATCATAGATGGTTTATTGGTAATGTGAGAGGTTGGGAGGGTGGGGGGTGGGGGTTGTCACAAGATACAAATGAGAAAAACATTAATTTGATGGAAACTTATAACAGGCCTGTACAAATTGCATCACTATATCTATCAGGATTTTCTGAGAATCAATAGTGAGTTCATTTTCATAAATTAAGTATTTGACCTGTTCTGTCTTACTAGAAATAAGTTGAGTATCAAACAATAAATTTTGTTCACGAAGTGCAGTCATCATTTTATTACGTTCATGGGTATGGCGAGGGCAGGTTAGAATGAAATGCTTTGTGTCTTCAGTAGAGCCACAGAGGCATTTGTTGTCAATTATTCCAGTAAAATTATGAGTAAAGAAATGGTCTTTAAGGGCAAAATCAACTCGAAGCCTATTTAGCAGTTTTTCGTTGGTTCTACTTAGATTTAGTTTTGTAGTTGGTATGAAGTTTGAAATAAGGATAAATATCTGTTTAATAGAGCTTTTGAATCTAGAAATGGTTTGAATTTCACGAAAAGTCTGGCTTAGTTGGTTCCAATCATTTATAAGTTTTAAAACTGGTGCTTTGGAGAGTCTCATTGAGATATTTCTTGGGCAGGAAAAGGGTAAAGAGTGTCTTAAAATTCTAGTTGCTTGGTTGCGATGTTGGTCAAAAAGACTATGGACATAATAAGGCACTTCCTTTCTTACAATTTTGAACATCAGTCTTAGATTTTTTTCGTGTCTTTTGTCAGTAAGCGATTTCCACTGTAAACATTTTAAAGTTTTTGAGGTGTTTGAGCCATGCAGTACCCCAGCACATATAACAGCAGCTTGGTAGTGGATTTTATCAAGCTTTGACAAGGCCGCCAAGGATGACGATCCGTAAATGGAGCTACAATAGTCAAAATGAGACGCCAAATATGAATTGTACATTATTTCAAGATGGTGCGATTGTATTTTGTTTGATATGAGCTTCAAAGGATTTAACAGTTTTTGAACTTTATTAGACAGATAGTTTATATGGTCATTAAAAGTCAAATTCTCATCTAAGATGAAACCCAGGTGCTTGTGTGATTGCTTTTGGGGGATCATTTCACCATCAAAGTAAAGCGGAGACATTTGAATATTTTTTTTGTCGGGTTGAGCGAAAAACTAAATGAGCACTTTTAGATGCTTTAAATTGGAGTGAACCCCCCCGGGAGTAAACACCAAAAACTGTAATTTCAAGAGCTATGAAATCTTCGGAGAACATAAGTTGCATAAACAGCAACTACTACAAGTTATTTGAAAATCATATTTCAACAAAGTGTCTAGTATTTACTGAAAATTTGATCTCGGAAACCGGGTGAACTTGGGAAATGGCGATGATAGGTCAAATAGGCATTATGGATATGCATAAAATGAATGTGGATATGACTAAAAACTAAATCCAAATAGCAGTTTTAATTTGTGCGGCCAATGTTGACGGACGGATGGACGGACCAATGGAGGGACGGACCAATGGAGGGACGGACCAACGGACGGACGTCATTTGTTGTTGCTGCATTAGTGTCTTCATTCGTTGTCTTCTTTCTTTGTCTTGATTTGATTGTGATGTTAGTTATCTTTCTTCAGGGTCCACAGACTTGAGACTGCGCGTAGGTGGGTTAAATGGACGGACGGACCAACGGACGCCTGGTCGATCCCATAGGCTCACGTTGTGAGCCAAAGACTACTGAAAACACTCCTTTCAGCCTGAATTTATTCTTTTCTTTGCAATTCCAATGAACAGAGCTGATTTCTGTCAGCTCGGTAGAGTAATTTGTTTAGGTTTTATTGACGAAAATAAGACATTGAAATGGAATTTACCTTTTCCTTTATTGTGGAACCAGATATTTTTCTACCTTCATCTCCAGGATAGGCTTCCTTTTGCTGCGTATTTTTTATTGCTTCATCTTTGATTGATTGTTGGTCCTTCAAGGAACCGGTACTGTAATGTCGCAGAAATGGTTTTGAACTTGTTGACAGGAGTGGGTCAACGAAGCAAGAATCATATATACACCTAGTGTCATTTCTAAGTACACTGTTAAGGTATCTCCATGGAGATATGTATTTTGTTATCGCTGAGTTGGAATTTGCACAAGGTTTGAACTTTATTTTTGTATTCAAGGAGAAAATGTTCTTTGGGAATCGTTTAACGAAAATTCCCTTTGCGTTTGTACTTGCCAATTGTTCCTTTACATTCTTAATATAATATCCAATCTGAAACCCCGTGTATTTAATGCATTTCTCAGAGTATGTGTTCTTGAAGCTCGAAAATAAAACTTTTTGAATTTGCAATCCACTTTTCATGGGCGCAGACATCTTGGAAATAGTCTCAAACTTTAAAAATAATTTTATGAAAAGGAGAATATAGATATGATATTAAAGATTATTATATAGGGTGAAATGATAAAAATATGTATTGTGAAAGATCATTTCATCAAGTAGGTCATTTATTGAAATGACTGTAATAAATGCTATTGCTCTCATAATTTTTGTGTGGCGTGTCATAGACATATTTAGGTTCGAGACTATTTGACAAGTCACAAAATTTAAAAATGCAGGTAAGTTTTTAGTTTATGTTTGTTCGAACATAGTTAGATCAATTTCTTAATGATATATCTGAGAAAATTACAATTTGATAACTCGAGCCAATTTTTGACTTGAAGTAATTCCATCTGGAACACCGTGAACCAGGCCGTCCAACTGTCCCGCAATTTGCGTATTTGTCACGCATTTGGCTGGTAAATTTGAAGTCACGTCAGTTATTTTTGCGAGACAGAATATGTCACGCAAATACGCATTTTATGTAATTATTGTCAAGCAAAAATATTTCTGTAGAAGAACTTCAAAAAAGTGATTGCCGATACAGCAAAAAACGAGCGCCAAAAAAAGCATTTCGTTCAGACTTTTCACGAGGACACTGTATATGTCACACATTTTCATTGAAATATTTCGTACCTACCATATGTATAGTAATTTTCATTACTTATACATTTAGAGTAGATATTCATCTTTCATTCCATAAGAAGAAATATAAGATATTGACGGAGTGGGAGCTGTTTACTCAGTTCGAGAGCCATGTTAGATTTTGAAACTTATGGGTCTCAAACGGGGAAGTGGACAGTGGACAGAAATAGTGACCTGTGAAACACGAATTAAGTCGATCAGCGGCTTACTTTTGCTCTCTAACTCTTTCATACATCATCCTTCCATGCAAGTATTGAAGCGCTGAAGTACTTCCTTTTCGAATAAGACATGTAATTGTTAGTCGAGTGAATGTTTTTACTGCCAAATTCCAATATGGCGTTTTCTGCTTGGACATTTTCGTAAATCTCCAGAGGTTGTCCGAACCTAACTCATTCTCAAAATTCATTTCGTTTGTTGCATCATGGGCTTTCAACTAGAATTAAAAGCTCATGGTTGCGTATCTCGCTCAGGAGCACCGCCATATTGGAAATAGGTCTAAAAAACATTCACTCGATGAACTTTTTACAAGTCTTGATCTAAAGTATTTCAGCGCTCTAATACTTACACGGATTGATGATACTGATGCAAGACACAGTTAGAGACCAAAAGTAAGCCGCTGAAATCTTTATTCACGTTTTAAAGGTCACTATTATTCAGCTGTCCAAATGCGCCGTGGGAAAGCTATTATATCAAAATCCAAATAGCTTTCGCAGGAAGTAAGGAGCTGTTACAATGACTTCTACTTTTAGCAATTTTCAGAACGTTTCGTCATGGGCTTTCAATTAGAAGGGTATGCAACTCTGTGTCATAACATGAGACCTTCAAAATGAGCAACGCCACGCTTCCCTTTTATGGTAATATTTCAAAAAGTATTGGATAAATGTATATGTTTTCGTATTATTTTGAATAAAAATCAATTTTCAATATGATTTAAGCATAAAATATATTCAGTATCGTATAAAAGTAAACAAAAAAGACCAATAAGAATAAGAGGTATCAAGATATTCACTTTGAGTATTGCATTGTGGGTAATTATTCAAGAACACATTCCAATTAAAAACATAATTTGTTGGAGAATGTTCACTTTCTGTATTGTCATAATTATGATGAATTCCATTTTTTATGATAAATTATCAACATATATGGAGATAATCATATTTTCATTTTTGAGTTATTTCTTTAAATCATCAATAAAAAGTACAAAATAAGATTTTCTTGGAATTTGTACATTCTCCAATTCTGAAAACCAAGGCAATGCTTATGTATGAAATATGGGAAGTTGCCTACCCTTCTAGTTGAAAGCCTATGGTTTCGTCCAGTGTATTTAAAGAGAGGCCCAACTTAAATCAAATACAATAACATTGCCGTTTTTTTGCTTATTACTTGAAAGCATAATGCATTTTTATTATCATCTATTAATATGACGAATCGATTGCAATATGATAGAACGCTTATTATACCCTAGTTAGGGTTTATTTTGTATACAAATGTAAAATATCTACTAAGAGTTGAGAGGTTTCTCCAGATATATCGTTGTTACGGAAATGATGTCACATTATATTGGATTTCAACAAGAGAGGGCTAAAAGTTTTATGTCATCAATATACGTTGGATGATATGGAGACATTCTTTGTGACATTTGTTTTGGGGGATTCATGACAACAGCCAAACACTTTCACTTTCATTATTAGAGCATTTTGACATTCAATTGGAAATCGAAAGTGCATTTATTAGGTTTAGATAAAGATGCATTATGCCATAGGTTTCTCCCCCAGACAATCAATGATGTCCTTTTGTTATTGCTCATATAATATCTCACATACCATGGATATATCTTGAGAATAACTTTTGGGTATATTATTGCCGAAATATCGGAAATAATCAACAGAACAACCAAACTCCAGAATTAAACACAATCAATTCCTCGGCTAGCGAGGGGACTCCCATTGAGTCACACAAGCGCCCACAAGCGCCTTGAACCAGGCAGCCATTCAGGTTTATGATGAACAAATTCAATGACCAATCAGATAACAGGAGGACTTTCCCGGTATATTCAAACTTTAATTTCTTCGAAAATAATTACTGTACGCCCGGTATTATTCGCGTGCGATTAACTTTCGCGCTTTTCGCGAGGGTGTTAAAATCGCGAAAAATTATCGTCGCGAAATTGCCAATTAAATCCCCGGGAATTTGTTTTTACCCGGGGCTCTGATGCATTTCGTTTTGTCTACTAGTTTGGATCGAGTTATAGTACTTCAATAGTACTGTGCAACTCCATGACTTTGCTATGCGCATGCGCGGCAATGAAAGAGCACGTGCGCACGATTGTTCACGTGATCGTAGCCTGCATTTTGATTGGACATCATATACTGGGGAATGTACTGGGAACTGAATTTCATATACTGGGGAATCCCCGAATACGATAAAATACAGTATTCGCGAAATTTAATAGCCGCGAAAACGTGTTTTCGCAAAATTCGCGAAATTAAAGCTCGCGAATAATACCGGGCGTACAGTAGATCAGCCAGCACAATCGCAAAATTAACACTGAAAGAGGGGGATTTGGGACTTCTTCTTTGGTAAGTAGATGGGTATATATTGAATGATATGTTTATCTGTACATTCATCGTAAAAAAAGTATATTTCACCCAGAGCTCATGTTGACACTAACTGATAGTCAAAATTTTATTGGATGAAATAGGTTCAAATGCTCGTATTAAATCCGGGTATTAAATTCTTCAATGTACTTACTTAAATGTGGATCAACCGAGTTACATGGCGTCAAGTGTTTAGTTACTCTTATCATATGCTACGACCCAACTTATGTTGTGGTCGTACGATACAGCCATTGTTCAAGAAGTGTTTCTACAACATTGGAGAAAGTACCACGTACTGTACACTAAATGACCTGCCTCAATTACCTTTGCATGCTTTCAACTTCACTTCTTAAAAGAGAGCTTCGTCTTCACTCTTTCAGTTTACAATAAATCTCTGAACTCACTGAGCCATTCAGAGTTTGTTGTTGAAATATGGACAACTTTCTCTATATGGTCATTTCCTCTGACGTTGTTGTATAGTTGATGAGGAAGCATTTAGCATGTGTTCCTTCCAGCACGCTGATTGGTTGACAGAAGATCAGCGTGGTAGGGTTTAAAATGATTTATGACCTGGTCTGTCACAGGCATAGGTCATTGGGGCAGGGCTACTAAACTAATATAGTCTATACTAAGCTGAGGGTAGTTTAAAACTAGACTCTGCACGCAGGGTATACCTCAATACATTCCTGAGTTACTTAGATTCTTATTATGTAGTTGAATTCCCAGTTGTCGTATTCGTTGTTCCCTCTTCAAAAGAGGAGACACGAACGATTTGCCTTATAAGGTCAAAATATTTCCCATGATGCAGTTCGCAGAGGAACAAATACATACTTCCTTGTTTTCCCCCAAACGTTTAACATGGGGATTTTCACATCTATTTTTCAATCTATATGTTTGTTCATATTCCGGTACGGGAGTACAGAAAAAATTATCAGAAACGATTGATCTCTTATATTATATTAATCTTAATATAACAGATATTTTTTCCATTGTTTTGATTCATAGCGTGGTGAAATCTATGATTGAAAAGTGAGAAAATATTCCAGAAGAAAAGGTCATGTGATCAGTTGACTAGTTGCCATATTGGAAAAAATAATTTCAATCGACTTTCAACACTCTCATTCCAATCTTAGCACACTGCTAACTGCAACATCGATGCAACAACAGAATAAAAGTACTCATCTTCAAATTGCATTATAGAGTTATGTTGAAAACCCACAAACAACTGAGCAGTTGACCAAAGAAGACGCATTGCTATTATCTAGGTCAATCGGTTCAGTGTCCGAAAGTAAATCTATAGTACTCGTTTCCGAATTTTATTGGTCATTGTACAAGCTTTTCTTGATTATACTCAGTTTACTGACCATTAAAGCAATGACAAAGAACAATACTTCTGATGGTGCCATTGTTTTATTTAGTGTGTGGGTGTAAAAACAAAATTACGTAGTTAGTTTGATTTAGAACTTTCGCATCACCCAAATAGCTACGGGAAATGTATCATTGGAAAATATTGACCAATCAAATTTTGTCCTTTTCGAAGGCTTTTTAAGTACATATTTCCGTACCTTCTCGATTAAAGAGCAAACCAAGAAAGGCTTAATTGTATGGGTTTATCAGCATACTTATCAAGATGTCGGAAGACGAATCTAGTTACATGTACTTTAGTAATTTTATTTTGTCTATTCAAGATGTTCTAACCTTACAGCCTAAATAATCTAAAAATATCTATATTTTGATATCAAAAACATATTAAGATATCGATATCATGTACTTCAAAAAGCATTAATGAAAATTATTGTAAGGATTAAGAGAGTGGTCATATGTTATGGGTTTACTGATGTCATGCTACTATATATAGAAGATATATTATGTTACTGGCCTAGATGTATTGTAGATTATTTTACCATAGAATGCTTTGAGATTATCCCTTGTTTCTAACTGTCATTCAAAGCTTAGCTTTGGGCTATGTACATTACTTCATAATCTGTACAAACAAACCTGTATTGTCACAACAGCTTAAATCCAGTTTTATATGATGTCAATTTCAACATGATTTATGTTAATTCTGATATTTTAGAATTAGAATTATAGCATGATAAAAAAGATAAGAATTGACATAGATCTTATTTTATGTTTTATGTACAATGTACTGATAATTTAGAATTACTTTTACAGCACATGTGATTAATGCGTTTTTTGCTGTACATGTACAATACATATACTATGAATCTTGTATGCATTTAATACACAACAAAGTGTAAAATTCAACAAGTTTCGAGTGGCTGTTATCAGCTCATCTAAAACTTCAAGTGATGTCATAATGTAAAGGCTGGAACATTATTATTGTATAGATTCAGTTGTACCTTATAGAGTTCATAACTTCATGTGTGTTTCTTGCTTGAGCATGTATGAGTAAACCAAATGTATAACTGTAGTCATATTTTGTTTTACAATCATCAATCTCTGTTAACCTTACACCTACCACTATTTGAATATAGAATTTACAAAATCACTTGCAGAGAAGATTGTACTACTAGATATGAAGGTTAAGTGTTCCACCCCAGTTTCTTTACCTTTGGATGTATCCTAATTGTAAATTAAATTCAGTCATTAGATATACACCTGAACATATGATTCAACATTTTGAATTGTTTCATTTAATTTATAACACACCATTGAAAAAGAGAGAATGTCGAGTGAAAGGATAAAAGTGATTCAAAACAACCTAAGGGGCTGTGCAAAGGTAAATTGTAAAACCATTTTTAATTAAATCAATGGGTGTAAATTATATTCAATATTAGTATGTAACAGCTGTGTTGAATTATTTCATATCATCTCAGAAAATTAAAAACTGTGAGGTATTCTTTCAGATAGGTTAAGAGTGTAGTGAACATGTTTAACACGAGTAGATCATTCGTACATAAGTGTATATGAACAGCTGAATCTCAATATTAGTTCAGAACTACTTAGCATTTCTAGAAAAATGAATGGAGTAAAAAATAACATTGGAGAGGTAAATCTGCTAAATCATCATGAACTGTTAATAAATCTGTTTTACTAAGGTTTCATGTAAAATATTTCTTTGGTTATAATAAAACAATCTGAGTTTATAGTAGACTTGTGTCATTCTGACAAATATGTTCAAATATGCCATATTTACACTATAAGTACTGTTCATATACATATAATGGTAGTTGTGAGAGAGGTTAAACTAGATCATCTAATTTTACTGTTTACTGGGCATCTGATTATATTGTTACATACAAATAGGATATATGGTTGAACATTAATAATCGGGTAAAATATATAATATAATATAAAATATATTTTTCTAGGTGGCATATATTATACGTTTTACAAATACCAGATATGACATTGTACATTTACATATAGTAGATGTACTGTCTTCTCCCTAACTGGAAAATGTGTGGCACTTGCCCCACATGAATTTTGGCTGTGCCACGCTGACTGCTGCTGATTGATCTTGCGTCACATATGAATTAACAGCGTTACCTTCTAGACTTGTTTGACAGAATTTTATTCACCCCAACCAGGTGGTGGCTCTAGTTTTGGCGCCATGCAAAAAATTAAGTTTCAAGACCTGGTCCAAGTCCTAATTACTTCCAGGTCATCACCCTGTCTGTTATGTCAATCATTTAAAATATAGGGTTTTTACCAAGGTTTTTTCTATTGCCTTATTACCCCCACCCCCTTCATCTGGTAAGAAGACAGGCTTACAAAATTGAAGGAGAGGTTATTGTCAAAGTTAAATAATTTAAGGGGGGGAGCTAGTCGTAACAGCAAAAAAAATCCTGGTTCATTTTCTGCTGAGAACCTTATACATCCTTCATGATTCTAGAATTGCATTCATGATTTGTGTATATTTCACTTTTTCAGAATGGCTTAGATGATTCTCTATTGTTTCCTAGTCGTCTACTAGAGGAATTAGATTGGTCACAATGTTCAGCTCAATTCAAACCTGCAATCTCAGCTACTGCCCCTGGAGACAATCTAATTCTAAGACCTCTCCAAGCATCAGATTATGACACAGGTGAACTATTGTGTTTATTAGGGCCACACCACTTAATAATATAACAGTACTGCTCTCTCCTAGCTTTCTGCAAGTCTAGAGTTGAAATGGCGAATTATGCAAGTGAAATTAGTAAATTCTCCCAAATGCCAAGTGCTTGGAATTTGGCTGTATTTCTCAGCATTCCTAATAGGAAATAAGACAATCATCCTACTTCTATCAACCTTATCAGCAAGTACATGTAGGTCATTGGAGTGAGAAATATTTTTTCAAAGGTATGATAAAAGTGACAAAATTCATATCTTATTATATACATACCGGTATGTACATGTAGCTCTTCCTCATTGTGATACATATCCTTGAATGACCTGCAATTAACTATTGAAAGACTACGAATGTGCCACCAATAAGTTGACAGATGGAAGGACAGACATGGATAGACACACAGGGATGGGTGATTACAATAGCTCACCATATGAACAAAGAACCAGTCTTTGCAATAATCTGCACGTCTTTATAGGAACCTATGTGTACATTGATTCTCCTGGGTGGGGATGTTTAGAATTTATTAGGGCAGGATCACAATTCCTCAGCATTCCTCATTTTTGATGATCTGTTTGCAGGCTTGTAATAATGTAATGTTGTTACACAATGGAAAAACATTTCTGTGTTAGACAAGTAGTAGAATGAGTTCACAAGTCCTGAAAATTGTTCCATTTGGGCATCCAGGTTCCAACATATTTTCTGCCTCTCAGTGCTTATGCTTCTAAGTGTCTATTGTGCTATTGCTAGAAATAATAAAGTAACATTTCTCTCATTCATCTGATTTTGTTTGCAGGATTCCTCCAGATTCTTGGTCAGCTAACCTCAGTGGGAGATGTGTCCAGGGAGATGTTCCAGTCCAGGTTTGACAGCATGAAGGCCTGTAAAGATACTTACTATATCTTGGTTCTAGAAGATATATGCACTAGTCAGGTCATTGGGGCTGCATCCCTTATTGTAGAGCAGAAGTTTATACACAGTGCAGCTATGGTAAGTGTAAAGTTTGCTAGTGCCATTTAGGCTATGTTTGTTTCACAAGTCCCTTGCAAGATGATTTCTCTATTGTTTGTTAGATAATCATCAGAGTTCACCACTATTGTATGTTTGCAGAGGGGTCGGGTAGAAGATGTGGTCGTCAGTAAGGACTACAGAGGGAAACAACTTGGAAAACTGTAAGTATCTGGGGTCAATTATTTCAGTATGGTTATTAAAATTCATTAAAAGTCTACTTCTACTTCAGCAACATATACTTGAGGGTTTTGAAGTCATTTTCAAGTAGCTTTGTATTATAAACAATGGATTATCACAGAAGCATCATAGTAGTACTTGTGATTTCACAACAAATAGAACTATTATAATCAAAACACAATATTGATGAAGTGTATACTAGTATGTAATGTAGATTTTGCTCATATAATACTCTATTTCTGTAACTCAGATATTTTACTTGAAGAATGTAAATAGATGTTTCAATTTTCAGGCTTGTTCAGACATTAACACTGCTAGCCAAACATGTTGGCTGTTACAAAGTGACTCTAGAGTGCAGTGATGACAATATCAAATTCTACAATAATTTTGGATACGAAAAAAGTGCAGAGAACTATATGGTGGCAAGGTTCAAAGATTAGGATAACCCCTCTTATATTGCTCAGAATGCAGGAATTCAATCATGTTTATCAGGATTTTAATTTTTTGAGATCTCTAGTACATTCAGGGGATTCAATAGAAGGCAAAACTAACAGAGCTAAAGATATATTATATTTGAGGTTCAAATCCTCAAAACAAGATGCCCTTTGATTAAAACAACAGGTGAAATCACCTCCTTTTATTGAAATTGCTGAATATGTATGTTTTTATGGGGGTGTAAGTGGTTTATGTGGATCAGTTATATAACGTTGAACCTCTGAATACATAGTCATGAAGAATATAAAACAAGAAGAGTGAGTTTGCAGTACTTTGAAAACAATGTATTTATTGATTCCAAATATTATAGGCATGGATGTTTTTGGAATCCGATATAAATTATATGATTTAATATCGATGCAATAATTTTGGACATGTGAGCAGCTGAACAAATGTAAATGGACATAGTTTTCAAAAGATACTTAGTCTTTTTTTATTTTTTATTATTGTGGAACAAGCTTTATTTCAACCCAATTTTGCAACAATCAGATCATTCTGGTTGTTGCCTCGACTTATTAACTGACAACTTTACATAATTGTAACATCCTGGTTCGAGTTAAATTGTATGAATTGGAGAACTCAGTTGGGCAAATAGGAAGCATCTCTTCATTCTTTCCGGAATATGGGACCTTCCAAAGATGACTTGTATTGGCAGAATCTTGCTGTACCTGTAATATATTTCATGGCATAGGTACAGCCATACTGTCTCATTCCTGTATATATAATGCAGACTTCACTATATAGGATATTATCATATTAGCAGGTAACCATGGTAACATTCCATATTCTGTTTCTGAATGTGAGCTTAGTCAAGTGCAAAGTTGTCAAAAGTTGACTATCGCCATCTAAAATGTAATAAGAATTACTGTTACATATTAAACCATATTTTAGTTGCATCAGCTGTATATAACATGTAATGAGGAGGTATACTTCATTTTTTGGTATTATATTGTTATTATCTTAGTAGCAAGATGTGATATTTATCATATACATTTATATATTCTTTTTGTGTTGTTTGAATACTGATCTGCTTCAATGCATAATTGTTGGTTGTTACTCTGGAATTGTTTTTGGTATGTTACACAATTCCTAGAAAATCACTATCTACTAGTACTTGAAGTTGAACAATGATTTGCAACTAGATTGTAAAATAAGATGGCTCCAAAAGATGGATCTCTGTATCTTTGGAGTGGTTTCAGATGTTACTTTTGTGGTACACAGTGCACCTTTGCTTGCAAAGTACAATGTATGTGTGTATAATTTATTTATAAAATAAATTATGAAAGGCAGTAGTTAATCAATCAAAATGTTAAAATAGGCCTATTGTCTTCATAAAATTGTAGCAGCATGCGTATCATGTTTCCTATAATCACCAGGGAATTGGCTATTGATGCATCAGAATTTTTAAATGAATGTAGTCATTCCTAAATCTAAATGAGGGAACAGTACATAACAATTATTTTTAAATGTAATGTTTAAAACATTGGCTAGTTTGAAGTGTACAAAACTTTAATTCATATTAGAATCGTAACAATGACCTTGTTTCTATGATTCATGGTAAATACTGCATGATTTAGATTTTATTCTAGCCATTGCTGAAGACCATGGTGAATATATTTCATCAAAGACATGTGAATGCCTCTTGAAAAGATTCTTGAATATACAACTTTAGAATGTATTCATTTTATCAGTATGTCTACCTAGAACATATAGCACATGTAATCAGGGTAATTTATTCTAAGCTAGCATGGGAGTATTATATATGTTGAAATCAATATTGAAATCTTCAGTTATGACTTGTTGTAACCAATTGGAGAATTACTTTTAGGTCATTCAATGTTAAAATGTCAATTGCCAGTAAATACTACAGACACATTTTCTAGAATCTTATTTTCTGCACCATAATAGCGGAATTTCCAGTTTTAAAGGTTCGACTTTTTATTTCCAATTTCTGTAGATTTATCAAATATCCCATTTTATCAAAGTTTCCTATTATGTGCAGTTTCAACTTGCACAATAAATTAGAATTCTTTACTAAAGTGTGTTCAAAATTCTTACTGGATAATGGTGTCGAATTTTCAGTGTAACAACATTTGATAATGTTTATGAGGAAATAATATAAAACCAGAACAACGGCAACGCCAAAGCGTAGCGAATCCCATCGAACATTTTTCAAAAGGGGCACCTTCTACCAAAAGTGTCATTAGACAGTGTGCCATGCTTATAATATTCACATACCAAATATGAACAAAATCGCTCTACTACTTTTCGAGTTATAGTAAAATACGTTAAAATGGCGGCCATTTTTCAAAATGGCCACCTTCTACCAAAAGTGTCATTAGACAGTGTGCCATGCTTATAGTATTCACATACCAAATATGAACAAAATCGCTCCACTACTTTTCGAGTTACAGCAAAAATCGTAAAATAACGAGTAAAGGCCGCCATTTTTCAAGATGGCTGCCATGTGCTTTTTAATATCTACATTTCTAGCTTTATTAATGTCCTATATAATTTTTTTTACATTTAAAACATATTGCTATTACAGTTTTACATATTGCACCTAAATTACTGTAAAATCGGCACTAAAATGGCCGCCATTTTTAAATGAGTGGCCATTTTGAAAATCGGCTTTCAAGCAGAACTTCTATCCCCATAGGGTATATGTGTACAAAATATGAATAAAATCGGGCCAACGGTATTTGAGTTATTGCCCGGACGGACGGACGGACGGACAGGGGTGTTCCCTATATCCCTCCGAACTTCGTTCGATGGGATAATTAAAATATAGACACTGTTTGTACTATGATTCAAATGAATAAATCATGTTTAGATGGTTGAAGGAGTCGGAACATTTTAATAATATTTAGCATTTTTGCAACTGTGAACAAACATTCTTGTTGTGTAAAAGTGCTGATTTGTAACAGTGTCATGTACAAAATAATCTCAGCTGAATATTTACACACAGTATATGTATATGCTCCATCTTGTTGAAACAAAATGAAATAAAAAGTCATCTAAAGAATATTTTTGTTCCTACTTCACATAAATATAAAAGAACAAACAGGTGATATTATATTAATGAGTGAATAAATATTTATTTTAAATTGACATGTTGTTTCTACACATCCCGTTTTATATCATTTTTGTGTTTTACTGGTATTTTTCTCTTCAAATGTAAATATTTATCCCTGTGATTTCCTTCACAATTTCCTCTGATGGGTGAATTTGATTTGTCAGTTCCATTTTACTAAGGAACTTGATTGCCAAATAGTCTCTTTTCCATCCATGGCCGAAACAATACAAACTATCAACTGACATGCTAAAATAAACAGGAATCTGATTTATTAAATGGCATTCATGGATTAAAAATCTTAATTTCTCACAAGAAAACTAGATGCGCTCACACATGTTTTTCTTTTTATTATGACTTAATCTGGGTTGATATTTTGTATTAAGATGGAACATTAACAATGATTCAAACTATGCAAAACTTGAAGTTAACATTTCTTTTAAGTGAACTAGGTTAGGTAACTGCAATGGCAAGGCATAACAAATCCCATCAAACATCTGATGAGTGTCAGACAACACTGAAAATCCTGTCTCAAAGTGGCCACCATAGATGTATTGTCAACATGCATGTATTTACTTAACAAATATCAACAAAATCATTCTATTAAATTTCCAGTTATAGAATAAAGAAATGTAAAATGAAACGTATAATGGCCTCAATTTTCATAATGGCTGACATATATAGCCTACTGAGATGACATCTCATGCTTTCAAACTCATGCATATGAAACATCAACAAACCCATTCCGTGGCCATTTTTCAAATAGCTGTTTTTAGGCAAGTTATTTGTCGAAAGAAAATGCTCCAAAGAATTTTAGTTTTATGCTTCAAAGTATTCAATATTAGGCCAACAGTATTTGAGAAATTGCCTGAACAGACAGACAGACAGACAGATGGATGGACAAATTAATGGATGAGGAATCCTCTATATCCCCCAAACTTTGTTGGGATAATGATTTGAATGTAAATGAGGACAAATCAAGGATGTTGCTTCAAATAGGCTTCACTGTATATTCTTAACAATCGTATTAAAAGGAATCTGATAAAAACAATTAACATAAGTAAGATTTATATAGTAGGCCTATACTACAATGTAGTGCACAATATATGCATTAACTTCCAGGAACTCCTTTGTCAGTTTGATACATTTCATATGCAAATTTCTCCTGGTGCATGTGATCACAGTAAGCAGCAATAAAGTCAATCTCCAGGCCAAAATCTCCAGGCTCCCCTAACTGTGTGATACTCATATAGGTAACCTTATGGAGGATCTCTGTCAGGGGTTGCTGTCTGTCCTGTATGCGTCCTTTAGCACTGTGGAAGAACTTTGAGAAAGGGATCTGAAATATATATATGATCATGATGCTGTAACCTGAAGTGTTTGGTAATGTAATATAACTTGATTGGTTTTGCACTTGGAGTGTAGAGGAATATAATTTTAACTAGATAATCACAACACCAAATTGTAAAAATTCCCATTGAACTTCTTGTAAATGGAAGACAAAGCTGCTAAAAATCAGGTCGCTTAGAGAAAACAAAAATGTAATATACACAGATCGACGAAAGTGTTTGTTTGATAGAATTTATATTAATACCATCATGTTACATAGAGATATAGGAGACTCAATTAACCAATGTTCTTCTGAGATAACGAAGATTTAATGTATCCCCAATCCCATCACGATAGCATGGTGATATAATGATATCCCCATGTTAAGTCAATAGTGCATTCCCCATGTCAATACTGCTGAAATCCTCATGTTTTCAGAAAACACTGGTTGATTAAGCCTTAATCAGTAGAAATGGGTTACTGAGTATTTCTAAAACCAATCACAATTGGTTAGAAAAGGGATTATTTAACAGGAAGTTTCACTTGGTTTTCAAAGCTTTTGGTTACATATTATGTAATCAGAAGTAATATCAAAGCAACTTCATTGTATCTTATTAAATTTAATACACCTGTATATTCTAATATAAGGAATACAATGAGGGACTGCACATGTGATAAGCCATAAAATGACGTGACAATTGGCATGACCATTATGGAATATCTTACCTTAGCTGTCTGCCAGTATGGACCTCCTCTAGTGAACAAGGCAAATTGAAATATGTTATTCCAAGTTATATCAAAGAAACTATCCACTCCAAGGTTGAGAATATATGTCCTACCATCTCCACGAGCTCGTATCATTAGGTGACTAAATCCTGTCCAGTCATATGTATCGGCTCGCTGGAAAGATCTCTGGAAAAAGAAAAATGGAATTTGTTTTCATCCAGCAAAATGACCAAGAGACCGACTGCACACTTCCTTGTTCCAACTTACAAAAGGATCAGGTATGGTATTGCAAACAATATTGAACAGCTTTATTTTTGACAAGGAGTAAGTTGTATTTTTAGATCAAACATTCCTCATTCTACATCAGAACAATATATAATTTTCAATTGGATTTTACCGATAGAATGTGGATTAGGAGCCCATCTTGTCAGTTTTTCAAAAAGTTCTAATTTTTGGGCAAAAGAAGATAGTAAAATTGTGATTGCTACTTTTCGAAAGTTTCCCCTTTCTTAAGACTACTGGGTAAAATTGCTTTTCTCACATTCATGCAGCTAATCTTTTACTATGAAAATGCAGTATTCTCACCAAATTTCTAGGAGATTTTATATTGCAGTACCCTGCATATTTGTTAATTCCAGTCTTTGGAACAGTTCTATCAATAGTGCCATGAAAGTATCCCTTTCTGTTCTCATTCAGGCTAAATAAACATTTGCTTTTTCCTTCATTATTGTCACCATCTGAGGTGACGGTCCATTTTTCAATATCCTCCTGTGAATTAAAACTCCACACTTTTTGGAATTCACCCTGGTCAAAACCAAATATCATGTCTGCTTTCTCACATTTGAATTTTTCAACAGTTTCTTGTCCAAATAACTTCATTTCATCTTTCATCATTCCGAGACCAGTTTTTATATGCTCCTTTGGTGTTTTCTTATTGTCTTTCTTGTAACCACTTTTACGATCTTTCTCCCATAGGATGATGCTATTTGAGAGAGCAGATGTACGAAACGAAGACCATCCATTGCACTGTACAGCTCTTGGAAGCAAAATGAGACCCCTAGAAGCAGCTAACATGTTCCTCACTTTTTAGCCACACCTTGCCATTGGAAGAATCACCTGAAATAAAAACAAATCCAGATTTTTAAGTACATACTTCAGTGCATTGGTACTACTTAGGGATGGGATGAGAAGGTAGTGTTCACTTCTTGGACCAACTGACTGATGAAACATGTTGTTCATTATTCAATTTATTTGTTGACAGCTTAGCAGAAATACTGATTTTGAGCAACATCAATGTTGATAATGTTGATGGAGTGGCAAGGTCAAGCAAACAAGGAAGCAGAGGAAAAAAGTGCTCGTAAAAAAAGCTAAAAATCAGTGAAATATATAGAACATTGCAGAAAATAAGAAGAAACAATGATTCCTAAGATTGTTGAGCATCTGATTAGTGAGTTACAGGACGAAGGGTGCATTCTAGGAGGATATAAGATAAATTCAACAAACAGTGGAACAACTATTACATTGGAATATAAAGCACACCATTTTTACAACCCAAGGTCACAAACCATTACCAAGTCACCAAGTAGACTTATTAGAGATGCAAATAGGATTAGTGATTACAATTCTAACAAAAAGCTGTTGAGTGAATCAAAACACCATGAACAAATAGGATTATGTGAACAGTCAACACCTGTGAAGCCTGTACTAAATGGAGACTTGTTTAAAAACTGTAATAATGAAAACAGTGAAATTGTAAACAATAATAATGAAACTGGGGGTGATTATAGAGACGACAGTGGATTTAATTCAATATTGCCGAATTCGGGAGACAGAATCAAAAAAGTGAATGTCAGGATGCAAACAGATGTTAAACAAAAAAGACACCAATCAAGTGCAACAGAGTTAAAAGTGCAACATGTTGCCACTAAAACAAATAATTTGGATAAAAAACACAGAGGCTGCAGTGTCAACATCAAGAAACAATCTGACAACAAATCAGCACAATGCGAAAATAACAAAGTTTCCAAACTGACAAACACTGATTCGATTTCAACACGTGATGTAGCAGGACTTACTAACTTCAGCCTCGCAACATGTAGGGAAAGATATATGCGCTTCCTTGATGATTTAGGAGATGATCATATGTATGATTCAGATGCCTATGATTATGTGATGAAGACAAACAAATAATGATGGACAAATACTAGAAAAATTAACAATATGTGATAAACTTTCGAATTCATGACAAGAAATGAGCAAGATGAATTAAGGGATGCAAATGATTTTTCTTTAAGTGACTGAGTTTTTGAGACGATGAAGATCATTAATTAAGACTCGATCTATCTGGAAATCCAGTGGTGTTGAGCAATTATATCAAATCAACTTCTCTTAACTTTTTAGACATATCAAGATGATCCTTTTAGCTTGTCAAGCTTTTCTTATTATAATTTGCTGTATTATGTATGAAGAATAAATATATGAAAAAAAACAAAAAAACATTGTATGTATCAATGTCAATTTTATAGTGTTATTTAGTAAACTGGTCATTGTGTTTGCAAAGGTTTTGAATATATTAAAGTATGCTTTTTGGTATGATTTTCTTTACTTTTATGAATATGTGAATAATATAACTGAAGGAATATGCCAGAATGTAGTACGGAATAAAATTGAATTAGAAAAAAAAAAAAAAAAAAAAAAAAATGTTGATAATCAGCAAAATCTTTTGAGTCAATAAGGGGCAAATAGTTAATTCACTGATCCACACCATTAAACTAGACAACAGCAACGCCAAAGCGTAGCAAATCCCATTGAACAGCCATGGCTGGCATTTTTACAAACAAAGTACATAGCCAAAAATGGCAGCCATTTTTCAAAATGGCCACTTTCTACCAAAAGTGTCATTAGACAGTGTGCCATGCTTATAGTATAGGGGGGGGGGGGGGGGGGGGGGTAGGTACGAAAATTTCCAATGAACATGCGTGACATATACGGGATTCGCGTGACAAATCCGAACAAATTGCGTTCGTTTTTTCCCGACGTTCGTATTTTTACCGTATCATAAACATATTTTGAAAAATTTTTTACAGAAACATATTTCCGTGACAATTACCAGGTAAAATGCGTATTTGCGTGACATTTTGTGTCACGCAAAAAAAACTGGCGTGACTTCAAATTCTTCAGCAAATGCGTGACAAATACGCAAATTGCGGGACAGTTGACAGGCCTGCTATTAGCTGCCATGTGCTTCTTTAATATCTACATTTCTAGCTTTATCAATGTCCTATATAATTCTTTTACATTTTAAACATATCGCTATTACAGTTTTACATATTGCACCTAAACTACTGTAAAATCGGCACTAAAATGGCCGCCATTTTCAAATGAATGGCCATTTTGAAAATCGGCTTTCGAGTAGAACTTCTACCCCCATAGAGTATATGTGTACAAAATATGAACAAAATCGGGTCAACACTATTTGAATTACTCAATTCAATTCAATTTATTCATTCAAAATTACATCATACAACATTTCATCAATTACATGAAAAAGACACCCCAAGGGGCGTATATATTCCATGGGACATAATATTTAAAAGTAACGTTTTAGTCAAAGATCAAAAGCTTAATGAATCAAAATGAAAGAGAAAAATGGAAGCATAGATTATCATTGGTATTTACTGATAAGATCATTCTTTATCAGTTTTTCAAATTTCTTTATATATTTTGCCTTTTTGAAGTCTTTAGCCAGTGAGTTATACAGTATGGAAAGTCTGCAGATTCTGTTACAGTTTTCTGCACAAAAGTGAGCGTTTGAAATATTAATGTCAAAAATATTTAATATTTTGAACTTTTTGAAGATGGGACTTGAATGAGCAGTTCTTTCAGAATTTGTCATTATTCTTAGAAATTTCTTTTGCAAAATAAATACAATAGTCTGTTTAAGTGATTTTTAGTTGCATTGCCCCATAAAATGTTTCCATAACTTATATATGAATATACTAAAGAATAATAGGTAGTCAGCAAGGCATTTAATGTTAGTTTGTGTCTAGTTTTATATATTAATCAAATTAAATTTGAAATTTTGGTACAAAGTGCATTCATATGAGCAGCCCATGTTAACTTGGAGTCAATGATTACTCCTAGAAAATTAATATTATTACCCTTTCTATTGATTGATTATTTATTTTTACTTCAAAGTTGTCAATTTTGTTGATTCTTTTGTCAAAAAACATAAATTTTGTTTTTTCTACATTGAGTGTTAATCTGTTAGATGTCATCCAATGATGAACCTTCTTCAATTCCTCATTTATATCATTTTCTAAATTATCAATAAAATATTTGTGTCAATATTTGTGTTTATTGCCCAGACGGACGGAGGCATTCCCTATATCCCTCCGAACTTCGTTCATTCGATAATTAAAAAATAGAACAGTCAGGCACTAAGCAAACATCAGGCACGTAGCCAAGATTTGCCAAGGGGGATTCACTTTTGACAACTTTTGCCTAAAAATGGCCAAACTCACTTGAAAAGTGCTCAGAATATTACTGCTTGATTTTGAAAGTATTTTCACTCAAACCTCCTCCCAGGCTATGGGCCTGAACATGGTGTTGTTCAAAAAGTAAAAAATCACCACTCAAAACATCACATCAAAGGTGGTAAGCGACATAAATAGATGTATATGTCTATTATCTCTAAAGCTCTGGGGAAAGAGGGAAAGCCCCAGAGCTTTAGAGATAACAAACATAATTACGTCTCTTGCTTACCACCTTCGTTTGTTCAAATTTTCACCGACTAGTTTCCAAATACTACACTTCGATGTGATGTTTTAATTGGTGTAGGCATATTCAGTACACCTTTCTTTATCTTGAAGTGAAATAAGAAGCTATGATATGACATAATATCCTTTGAAGCATATTTCGAAAATTTTGAGGCCACCATTTTGTTTGTCGATTTTGACCAATCGGAGATGTAATCTCAATACAGATTTATATCATCACTCATTTGTGTCATTGTGATGGGAAGAAATGAATGAAGGGGGGAGTAGCTGAGTTTCGCAAACAAATCTAGAAGATTTATTTTTTCAAGAGGAAGTTTACAATCAATGCATCAGGATGCATTCAATTAAGACCGCCTCCTTAATGAAAATACTACACATAAAGTGGTGAAAAAAACGAACTTAAGTTGAAAGATCGCAACGTTCGCTACTTTGTTCAATTCAAGAAATCTCCAAGGGGCTGCAAATGGGAAATTTTTTAGATTTTATAACCTCAGAATACTGCCTTCAGTGTCATGTTTGGCTGAGTTCCACAATGTAACCTAGCACGATGGATGACATAGAACAAACTGGTAAGTAAACACATGGAAACATGTATCGACCTTGGGGAAGATGCCTCCTTATAAGTGGAGAAGTGTTTCATGATTTCAGTGCACACTTTAAAATGAGTTGTAATCCATAGATCCATTTTTTAAATGTTAAGGTTCAAATTGTATTCTATTCAAATTATATCACTGTTAAACTACATGTACTTGGGTCAGTCAAAAAGTTCTGTTTATTTATCTCTAACTTTGTCATTTTGAGGAATTATTTCTTGATATTTGGTACACCTATAGAACATACATTGGTACAAATATTGACTAGACATTGTATCTCAACTATCATTGGTTACTGAAAAATGGTTGCTATGGTAACAGAAGGGTGATGTATTTGGTTCAACCCAATTTTATTGATTTTCGTACACTGTTATTAACGTATACATAAAAATATTGGGTGAGACTTGAGATAATGTATGCGGCGCCAGTCAAAATTGAAACTTCTGATTGGGTTCGAAGCCGAGATGCCCGGATATGTCCCAGCAAAAGCCGGAATTCACGTGATTTTTCACGAAGAAGGGGTGGAGTTTAAGCGAGATTCATCGAGACTTCTTCGTGTCAATCGTGTCAATCCCTGCATTGCTTATTGTTAACTCCACCTTTTTGCCCATATATGGAGATGGAGATGCCACTTGCGAGCGTGAACAGTTCAGTCTAGAAATAGAAATTTCTTAAGCGATGTCTTTCTTCAATTTTTCTACACGATATCTCGATAAATAGTGGACATATTTGTACCATTCTTTCGTCAAAATGAGGGTATCGCTGGAATACATATTTCCAATCTGTTGGTCAATAGATTTATTCATTGATACTGGCAGGAATTAGATCGTAATAAACATGCTAAAATTGTAAAACTTGTATTACATGAAATATATTTTAAACTGTCTCAATATTTAAAAACTCCTTTCTAACTAAGTCCCCGATGTCATATCTAAGTTTAATTTAGTTATTTAGCCTTCAAAATAGTCGCCTCCTGCAGCAATGACCTTTCGGTGCCTTTCTACCCAGTCTCTGAAGACCCCTTTGAAACCGCCAGCCGACAATTCATTTAAACGTTTGCGCACTGCTGCCCGCAGAGCCTCATCAGAATCAAACCGGATCCCCAGAAGACCCCTCTTTAGATTGTTGAAGAGGTAAAAGTCACAAGGAGATGCGTCTGGGGAGTATGGTGCTTGTGAAATCCTGCTCCATTGGAGGTCTTCTAAGGCAGTCTTGGTAACATTACTTGTATGGGGACAAGCATTGTCCATATGGAAGTGTGGCTTAAACCCTCGCCGTCTCTTCTGACGTATGGCCCTTCTTGAGTGAGGAATCTTGGAACCCATTTTGAGGCTACGTAACGCTTTCTCAATACTTTAGTGATGATCATATGACATGAGCCATAAGAAATATTCAGAATGGATCTTATGAAATGTGCCTATCTTGCTCAATCAACTCTTGTATTTTCTCAGCATTGTCCTCATTCACAGAACTCTCGGGCCTGCCAGTCCGTGCTGAATCAGACAGTTTATCCAGGTTTCCAGACAAGAAGTCATTGTACCATCTACGGACAGTATTATACCTTGGAGCATCCTGTCCAAAAGCACATTTAACAAGTGAATATGTCTCTTGTAGTGTTTTCCTGTTTTCTACCATACACTGTATCAAGTTTCTTTGCTTCCACTTTAACAACTCGCTAGGAGAATCAATATTTGACATGATTTTTTCTCAAAATCCATTTTTCGCTTTTTCGTCTTTTCATCGTGAAAATCATCTATGTCAGCTGAAAATTGTCACATTTGAATATTTCCTTGACTGTGATGTCATCAAGACAATAGAATTGGCATCAAAACCTGTAAATTTGCACAATCTGATATTTTAACATGAAAAACTGTTCAATGAATTGATGCCAAATAAAATTAATTAGGCATTAAAAATATGACGTTTTTTAGCTGAACCGTGTACCCCACAATTCTGTTACCATAACAACCCTATTTCAATAACCAATCATTGTTGAGATACAATATTAAGCCAATAGTTTCACAAATATATGTTCTATAGATGTACCAAATATCAAGAAGTAAATCCTCAAAATGACAAAGTTAGAGATAAATAAACAGAACTTTTTGACTGACCCAAGTATTTATCTGCTTTAAATGGGCTTATTAGCCTTTAGCGGATTATTGATGTAGATGTAGGTAACATTACATCATTTCGTTATTTTAACCATATGAACTGGTCACCATAATAAATGATTTGACTATAAAGATAGTACACACTAATAAACAGCCTAAAAACTATAGTAAAATTTTAAATGTTTGTGAGTACTTTGAATTTAAAAAATAAGCATTCAAATGACCAAATTGAAACAGTTTATGTAAAAATAGAAACATTTATCCTAACTTTTGTATATTTTAGTTTGTTTTGTAGTTTAGCTATCATATCTGTGTCCTCTTATATTTTGATACTTCTCTGCCATGATATTTTCGGAAAAATTAACATGGCTGAAACTCCCTAAATTACAAAAGGCCACAGCTTTGCTGCACATTATACATTACTAGAGTCCATTTCACTGTTTAACTGCGTCAGTAAAAGCTAAAAAATAAGAAATCAAAATGTCATTTTGCAATAATATATGGAAAAATATATTCCTATTGTACATGAATGACATTTGTATATCTTGGATAACCAAACCCGTCTGGCCCAGTTATCTACTCTTGATATCGTAGATCTGGGCCAGACTCGATCCAATGCAAAAAATGGGGTATTTACTCGGGAAAAAACACACTGGTTTTTCAATGTATAATACGTGCTGATAAATGAATAAACATCATAAAAATCACTTACGTGTTTGTTCCTTGTATCAAACTTTGTATTTATATTAGGTTTCCATCGCTGGATGACGGCTAATAAATAAAAATAAGAACGAAACGTCTAAACGCAGCAAAAAGAAAAATTCTTCTGCAATCTGTTCGTGATCTCGTAGAATATCGAGAAGTCTCGACTGCTTATTTCGTTCAGTACTACATTCCGTCAGTTCAACAAATTGAAAAATCGTATTTAATGTCCACCATATTTCTTTCCAGTTTAAATACAACACAGACACGTCTGTTTTATAAAGTAATCTACGTTTTGATAACAAATCTGCTGAACAAATCGTAATATTTGGAATGTATTGATTCCCGGGAAGTGTATTTTCGTTCCATGAAAGTTTAAAAATTATCGCGTCACACTCGTGTTACGTCACATCACATGACTTTATTCGGTGCGGAGAACTGACGAAATATTGACGAAATGTTGTGCCCATTTCAACATCAATATAACAAACAAAACACCACATTTACGCGTAAGTTGTGTTCTCTTTATTTCAAATAAATACTTGGGTTTACATGGTACCTGATGTTTTGGTTGGATGGCTAATAGGGAATGAATAATAAGTGATGATTCAGCGACATGTTTTTTCCGGAGTAAATCCCCCCTTTTTAGCATTGGACCTTGTCTGGCCCAGATCTACGACGTCAGGAGTAGATATCTGGGCCAGACGGGTTTGGTTATATCTTGGATTGCTTCTAGTTTGGCTTGTGAAGTGTGTGGCCTCTTATATTTGGATGCTTCTCTGCCATGTTATTTTTAATAAGATTTACATGGCTGAAATTCTTCAAATTACAAGACGGCACAGGCTTATTGCACAAAAAATTAAAAAATCTGAAATATACAAATGTCATTCATGTACATTATGAATATACTTTTCTATATATTATTGCACAATGGTCTCCCAATTTCTTATTTTTGCCGTTCTACTGACGCAATGAAGCAGTGAAATGGACTCTATCTGAAATATACAAAAGTTAGGATAAATATAAATGTTTCTATTTATACATTAACTGTTTCAATTTGGTCATTGCTTATTTTTAAATTCAAAGTACTCGTGACAAACATTTAAAATTTTACTGTAGCTGGGCGATAATATATGATATCAGATTCACATCAAGTTTTCATTATGAATCAAGCCTGAATAGACATATAAATTCGCAAGCTTATTCAGTGCATAGTATTGCACTTACAAATTGTACAATAAAGATCTTTTTATCACTAAAAAGGCAGATATATTTAAAAGATTCCACTAAAAAGCTTTACCTAAATATTCGTGAGCCGCCACACATTCTGATATTCACTCCGTGTTGTAGGCCTAGGCCCAAGGTCAGAAAAGTTTTGGAACAATTTTGGAAGGTCTATAGTCATGAATCTACAATAAAATCATAAACTAACAAAAAACCATGGGGTCAAAGTCATCTACACTTCTTCAGGAAGAAGACATCAGTGATATTCAACAAGAAACTGGATGTAAGTTTAACCTTATTTTGATAACTCGTCACTTTCCAAATGTTGCTACAGTTGGGGACATAAATAAATGACAGGTGGATTTGCTGAAGTGAGGATTTCCCATGTTAAAAATAAGAGAATTTACAAGAGGCCATAAATCAGTGGATGAGATTATACAAAATGTAAAATATACAAATTTTAAGGGATATGTATCTAGACAATATTGGAAATTATGGGCTTTCAGACCACCATAATTAGGAAATGGTGATCGAAAATCGACCTGTCATTTATTTTTGTCCCCAACTGTAAATTAATTTTTTTATCCACTAGACTACTGCACTAGCCTCAAAGTCAGCACTATCAATGGTATACTAACTCTACCTTTATAGATAAATACTAGAAGTTCAAAAGCTGTTCGCCATTTTTGTTTCACAACTGCGTCGCTACATCTCGTTCAGTGTAAAATCGTATCCTAAAGCCCAAATCCCGGGAATCCCGACTCACTGGTTACACCAACAATCAATCAGATGGTATTATTACACCAAAAGTAGTGCGAAAAAGTTTTGATGACATTTAAAGACACTGTTCCTCTTTCACGTGCATTATCTCATGGAAATGGGCATACCAGTGTTGCCAGTGCAAAGATCTTTGTTCCATGGTAAAGGAAAGCTATCAAACATTGTCTGAAGAGCAGATCTAGCTCCGTAATTTTACTTTTAACATGGGGACCTTGACAACATATAGCCATTTGGGCGATAATAGGTGATTCTAAAGTGAAAATGAGTGCTTTTTTCGTAGTTTTACTTTGACCAAGGCTTGCAAAACATTTAAGTGATAAACCTTCCAACAATTTTTGATATTTTTGTTGTCTCGAAGTGTTCTAGACGATATCAAAGTGGAAAAAATTTTTTTGAATCAACCAAAAAATATTCGTTTTTCCGTAAAAAATCTAGATACCATAAAAAAATTACCGTTTTTTCCTGTAAAAACGACCGTAAAAAATCTGCTGTAACTTTACCAAAATCTACCGTGAAATATTTTATTATAATTCGATTTTTTCTATAAGAACGGCCGTAAAATATACCGTAAATATTTGAAAATCTACCATATTTCTGCTGGAAATAACAGTATTCTTGTTCAAACTACCGTAAGATATTCTATAATTATTATGAAATTCTGAAAAATTGAATTCTTCTCGTATTGCCCTTGTAATATTCCATCACCAGCCCAAAAATAGGTGCCGGCAGGTCTTTGACGGTGGTTATTGCGTACTTAGTAAGTAACTAAGTAAGCTGGTGTGTAATCAGTCAACACACTGGGGGATATCGTGGTGCAAAATCAGTGTTCAACTACCACAGGAGGAGTAATCATGATTAATTTGTAAATTGCTACATTGTAGCAATGGTATGAGTATGATGTCACAATACACTGGGGCCTAACTGGCGTAAAGGGGGAGAAAAGGGCCAATTTTGCACATGGGGACCACATTTGACTCAAAATATTTGCATTTAGTAACCTACATTTCAGTACATTCTGTGTAATACTTGAAATGCATTGCTATAATGATTTACAAAATGAAATAATCTCGGGGAATTTGCTTCCAAAATTTTTGAATGAGATCCCTGAAGTTGATGACCCAATTTTAGGTCATTTTGGCCCGTTTTTAGAGACTCAGCCTTCACCTATTTCCCCAAATATGGCTAGATTTTGTAGAAAACGTGTTAAAAGTTTGAAATGCAGCTGTTTTGAGCCTGAAATAACTCAATTGTTTGAAAAAATGCTGAATGAGCAAAAATTATGATAGTAAAATTTTCCCATTTTTGGATATTAAGGTGTTATTAGGGTAAATACCACTTCCGGGTAGGACATGTTTTTAATACTTTAAAAACGAAGCCATGCCAACTTCAATGGTGTCACTGTGTATAGTAGGTTTAAGTATATGCATTGTGGCCATTTGAGGTATGTATGTAAAGCTGAGGCCAAGTACTTTCTAAATGTGCCATTTTTAGAATAAAATCGCAAGAATATAGTCCCGTAAACTGGAACTACTTTATTCGTAAATTTTCATCGGTGAAGCAGGGATTTTACCTAAAAATGAGTCCCTATGTTGGCGTAGTGATATTTAAAAATCGAGACGCAAATCCTATGTTAGATATAGTGTAAAGATGAAGGTTATGGATATAGTCATTGTATGGGCCAGTTCGTTCGAAAATGGCAATATGTAGCCCAGAACTTGAATTTTGTGATTTTTTTCAATATTTTTCAATGATTTACCGTAGTGACACCTCCATTTTTAAAACTCCCACTGTTTACAACAACAACCAATCAGATAGGTTTAATTTTTTACATCAGGCTGTGCATGCGCCATTGGAGGAAGTGGATGGTTCGAGTGTGAATTTGGACCAACTTTTGCAAGTTTTACCAGGAAATCACCTTTCATTTGGTATGTTAGTAACGTTTTTTATCGTATTGGGTATGTAAGAATCATATACATGTCGAATTATTAGCATAAATGTCACAGTTTGAACGATATATGGAAATATAACACTTCCGGAAAATATTGTCACAAACGCCTTGTGGACTATTCACTATATTTTTAGAATATACCATTGATAGTGCTGACTGTGACTTTGCCTAGACTACAGATCTAATTTATCTATAGTGCAGATACAAAATAATTGATAAGTCGTATAATTGGCATATTTTCTTGAATTTTAACATTTAATGTCCCAAACTCCCACAAACTGCAGAAAAGTACACACCATAAATCATATTTACCAAAATGAGTGTCTCCAAGGCTTCATGCCAGCGTATGCATAATACAGGATACAGGTCCTTACTCACTTCGAGAGCCATGTTAGATTTTGAAACTTATGGCTCTCGAACGGGGAAATGGACAGCTGAATAATAGTGACCTTTGTAACACGAATTAAGTCGATCAGCGGCTTACTTTTGTTCTCTAACTATGTCATACATCATCATCATCCTTCCATGCAAGTATTGGAGCGCTGAAGTACTTCCTTTTCGATCAAGACTTGTAATTGTTAGTCGAGTGAATGTTTTTTCTGCCAAATTCCAATATGGCGTTTCTGCTCAGACATTTTCGTAAATCTCCGGAGGTTGTCCGAACCTAACTCATCCTCAAAATTCATTTTGTTCATTGCGTATCTCGCTCTTAGCAAACCACCATATTGGAAATAGGTCAAATAAACATTCACTCGATGAACAATTTACAAGTCTTGATCGAAAAAGAAGTATTTCAGCGCTCCAATACTTGCACGGATTGATGATACTGATGGAAGACACAGTTAAAGACCAAAAGTATACCGCTGATCGACTTAATTTGTGTTTCAAGGGTCACTATTATTCAGCCGCCAAGTGCGCCGTGGGAAAGCTATTATATCAAAATCCAGATAGCTTTCGCAGGAAGTAAGACTATCCTTCTTTCCAGAATTATAGATATAGCTATAGATAATGCATTTGTCACAAGTTTGGGTTGAAATTTTGCGAAAATGAAGTAAGGGTAGTCTCTGCCAGGTTTGTTTGTTGTGGTGAGCTTTTATGGTAAGTGCTCAGAAGCAAATAATTCATGTGTTCAAAATAATCTAATAATCTGATTGGTTTAAACTTAGCTGCACATTCGCACAATGTGTGCCAAGGATTTTTTCCAGTGATTTCATTTCATTGAGTTTGCGTTTCAGTGTAACTTCTGCCAAAATAGCGGACCAATGACAGAATTACTAGGTTAAATCACTTCGAAATTTTAAGAGAACTTTTCACCTACAGTGCTGATATAAAATAATAAAGGGTGCGTTTTCAAGCTAAACAGAGTGAATTTGCTTACATACCATTGACGTTATATCTCAATCAGACAGTTTCTACTCGGTAAGTGTGCTAATAACTTGTACAATTGAATTCTTTTTGATAATTAGATCAGTATTTCAGGCCTAAAATGCCAAGTGCAAACATATTATCGCCCATCTCAAAAATAGATAGTTTTTCAGTAATCTCAGTCTTTTTTTACTCAAGATAAAGTTATACATCTTATATATTTCCATCCTTGCAAATACCTAAAATATCTTAGGTATTCAAAAAATGATAAATTACTGAAATACTGCGAATATTAAGTCAAAATTTGGGGGGTTTGCATAGTTGCCGGAAAAGTTGGTTTCGAATTTTTTGAGGCAAAATTTGTGGTGTGTTCACACAAACCCTCCGAACTCCCTCACCCTACGGCCCTGATTGTAAACAGGTCATTTCTCTACTTCTCCCTCTATTTACTCTAAGATGTACTCTTGGCGCAATATCCAAACTGCGTGCATACTACTCACAGTTAGTCAGTGTTACAAACTGCGCGCATATAAACATTGCATCATTCAAGTGTTTTCAAACGTCATTTTAAGACATTTATTCTACATTGTTTTATAGTTTAATACGGGTTTGTGTAAAAAACCGGGTGACCGGGTACCTAACGTCCCTAGCAGGGTTATGAATTTTATTCATTTATAACGTTGGATCTGGTCGATACATACGTTATTTTCGACGTCACGTTTTGAGGTTATTTCACATCGTAAGAACGTTTTGACGACGTTAACTTTAAACGTTAAAATAAAGTCAGCAGTGAATCGATTAAGTTAGAACATAACGTCTTTGTAACATTTTCTTAACTTTCAAATATTTTGAAGCCAGGTCCAGGGATATTGTTTTCTGAACAATTTGAGATCTGTGGGCAGGTGCACTGTCCATATGGAGTAGGGTGTTCCCTTTTCTCACCACCCCTTTCTTCCACAATACTTTCTCAAATTGACCTGCACCCTTCCATACAACATTCTGACATTACAATACTTTCTGTTTTTGTGTTACCAGTCAGCAAAATTTTTTAAACAACACAACACTTGTTGCATATAAAAACGTTCAAATCTAACTGAAATTTACCAAACTGGCTAAAAACTGAATATGTGACGTAAATGTCGGTCCCGGGGTACCTGTACCTCCTTCAAGGATATATCAATAGTATTATATATTTTGTCTTCAAATCTTCAGAATTGATAGATAATTGAATGATGTATCACTGGTAGGAAAATCAAAGGGATTGGTCTATAAAAAGTATCTGTGTAAAAATGCGTCCATTACTTATTGATCACCCCTCGTAAATTCAGTTCAAAGCTTCTATAAAGGTAGTCCCACTCATAGATTTTTAAGATTCACCACGTTTCAAGAGGACAGCTGAAATAATGTTCATCCAGGGGGTTTCTTTGTAGATAATGAAAATATATGTTAGTCTTGATGAAATATCCAAAATTAAATATATTTTGACACTGGACGATGATTGTTCAATGGCCCCCCTGCGCTAATTGTTGCAGCTTTAAAAGCCTGTTTCGACAACGTTTAATATGAACGTTTGAGTTATATACGTCGCATATGGACCGATGTGGTAAAAAATAAACATTCTTGTTTCTGTTTTCCACACTAATGAACTTTACGAACATGTTACCGTGTCTCATGTTTTTCGTTGCCTCGACGTTTAAAGAACGAAATCACGCAACGTCTTCTGGGAACTTATATGCAACTTATGAGCAACGTGACATGGACGTCACTGTTTGCTGGATCGATTATTTTAAAAAGTACTCTGTCTCTTATAGGGTAAAAAATATCGAACAGTAGTTCACTCGGTAGGCTAAGTCTGTCAAGTCAATTCGCTACTATATATCGGGGGAAATGTGAAACTTTGAAAGTTGGTAACCCTGCTAGGAACGTTAGGTACCCGGTCACCCAGCTACCCGGTCACCCGGTTTTTTACACAAACCCTTTCATACGTCCATTCGGCAGCCATTAAATGTTCCTACCATGTGATAGCAAAAGTTATGTCTAGATGAACGTAGGTTTTAAAATATAATAGAAAATTGTCATCGGTTTTTCTATTACCATCACATAAGTTAAGATGACGCACTTTTCACAGAAATAGAAAATACTATATTATATGTAGCAATCCTGTATCTTTCAGTATATGCAAACACAAGGGCTGGATTAACTTCAAACTATGACAAACAGACATTATTTGACCCAACAATGTATATTTTGAACATGAAAGCTCCTAAGGAACCTTATATTGAGATAACTAGGTTTACACCAGGAAAAAAATCAAGTGCTACTTAGTCTCCACATAATGGTAATGTTTGATATACAAAACTAACCTTGTATTTCCAGTACTTTTCATCCTTATGGGAGTCGTGTCTCCCCCGTCTGCCATTTTTAAATATGCGCGAAGTTTGTCAGGGTTTCAAACTGCATGCATAGTATACACGCAGTTTGGATACCGCACCGTGGTACTTAAACGCATGGAAAACAACAACCACCACTCTACATGTCTCCACAATGGGGAAAATATAGTAAAGTGATGTTAAACCAAGAAAAGTGTATTTCTACAAATTTTCAAGTATACTCTACACTTAGGTAAAAACAAGAATGCAATCTCCTGTTTTTACCTCATTCTTCCATGCCACACTTGGGAAAAATGAAGAGAATTAAGAACATATAATACCCTTTTTTTTATCCATGGATGTAGAAATATACATTTTGTCCTGTTGGGCTCTTAGTTCAATAACTCAGCCTTGGTGTGTAGGTTACATATATGTCTAGGTAAGATATTTTGTATATCACTCTTTTAAAAATTTGGAAAATGATTAATATTATGTAAACATTTTTCATAAAAACATGTATTATGGATACACCACACTGATATTCTGTTATTATACCCTGACATGTGAAACTGATGTAAATTAGTTTTGTAATGTAGTTGTAGTTTGTAGTTTTTTTGTACACTGTAGTGTCTGATATGTCATTTACATGACATGGTTATTGAGTCAATAAAAGATATATATGCTCATATGTACCAGACACTGTATTGATCACATGGTACATACTGGTACATCTGTGTGATAAATCAGTATAAATCATAAATCGGATGTATATCTACTTCAAATGGGTTTATTATATGAAAGTAAACTAATTATCATGTATTTGTTAATTTTTAACCTTTTCTACTAGCATATGAGTAACTCATTTCAACACATTATTCAACAAGGGGTCTAAAACTTCTTCAGAAGTAGAATGGTATTTAAAGTCTAGTTTTAAAGATATCAATTTTCAATGACCAATAATTATGCTGAAAACAATGGATAGCACAAGTTTTCCTTATGGGAAAATAACATGGGATATGTGGTGTTTAACTTAAATGCATTTCAACACCCATGCTCTTTTCAGAAATTGTAAATATAGTATAGAAGAAACTCTTTCATACTTTCAGAAAATATGTCAATTCTGCAGGAAATGCCATAGAAATTTTATAAAAATTTAAGATGCTGCAGTTCTATTCCTGAAGGTCAATTCCATCCGTACTCCACAAATATGGAATTCTAGGAGGAGTGTTTTAGATATTACTAAGATATTAATTCACTGGGTTGATGAAATGATTTTTCTTGTTTCAACCAGTAAACCATTTAACCATAAACCATTCTCAATTCCAGTTTCTCACAACCAAATAATCCGCCTCTACAGTCGCTTCACCAGTCTCGATAAAGGAGGAACAGGTACATTAAGGTAAGTCAGTCTTCATATTATATAAGACACAGGTATATTAAGGTAGGTCTGTTCTAGAAAAAGGAGGCAACATTTACAATGTGTAAAATATTCTGAATCAATCAAAAAAACAACCAGCCATCCAATTTCTATTCTTAAGAGAAATTATTTTAATAGTACCCCTCTCCCTGGGACCCCTCTGGCCATTCTGTAAGTGTATGAATACCACTGGTCAGTATCAAGGAGGTAACGGCCGTAACCTTCACATCTAAAATGGTGGATCGTAATTGTTGATTTCGATAATTTTAGTTTTCATTGAATTAAACTACTTATTGACTTAAACTATTTAGTTGACGTTATGCATTGATATTTGAACCAAATCAGGCTTATATGACATGGGAACTGTGAAGTATAACATTGACAATTTGTTCATGTATCGTACATGGACGTCACAGTTCAACGATATGTTCCACTGCTTAAGGGAAGGTAACTGGTAATGTATAATGTGGTAATGGTCATGTTAGTTTCCAACATGCAGAAGACTTGGACATCTTAGCTCTCCATTATAAACTCTCATAACGTTATCGCATCACCGCATATCAATTACCTTATCATCTGTACAACCAAAATCCCAGTTACCTTCCCTTAAGTGGTGGAACCGTGGTGCCTATGCATGGTGAATGAACAAGTGATCATACTCCAGAGTTTCCATGTCATATAATCCTGATATGGTTCAAATATCAAAGCAATACGTAAACTATAAAGTGTTTTAATACAATGAAAACAAAAAATATCGAAATCAACACTGGGTCTATCTTCCAGATTAATTACGTAAATTATGACCGTATATATACAGGATATACCCAAGAGGTATTGCTCACCTTCATTGGTGGTAAACAAAATACAATACAAACTCTAACCATCCCACATCTTAATCGGAAGGTTACTGTCGTTACCTTCACTTGATACTGTCCAGTGAAATACTAACTATCTATTTTTCTAAAATTAAACTTTAGATACCCTTGTATAGAATGTCAAAGAAGTCAGATTTTATTTAAGATTTAAAATTTAAAATGGACTGTCTATAGGAGGACATTAAACCAGGATTAAGTACATTTAACATTCTTGTATCAAACAAATCCAAATGATATAGAAATGTAAGAAAAAGAGGCACACTGTATTCAAATGCCATAGTGAGATTTTATGCAAGATTTGACAGCAAAATTGATTCATATGTACTTATCTATTTACTTGTTTATTTATTGATAGTGTTGTGACAAATATATTTATCCTACATGTATATGTTTATAAAATAATATATTTTGATAAAATGTTTGTCATATAACTCTAATTCCTTTTCAGTGGTGCATGCTTATTGTACAAACTTGCAATAGGCAGATTGATGTCAATACATAATGTCCAAAGTATTTCATGCTTAAAAGTTGAAATTAATTTTATTTTTAGTCGGGAAGATTTCCTTAGGATTCCAGAGCTTGCCATTAACCCTTTAGGGGACAGAATTGTCCATGCCTTCTTTGATCATCAAAGGTAAACTTGATATATTCTTGCATATTTAATATACACTTTATATACACTCTATCCCACAGCCCCAAGGAAGCAATGTCAGTTATCAACAGTTGTAGAATAAGGAAGTTAGTTTTGTTAGAATGGTGGTTTCCATTAGCGAAAAGTGTGACTTTTCTAATATTAAGTGAAAGACAAATCAACATTAAAATTCCATTAGATGAGGGGAGTAGGTCAAACTATAACAAAAGTTATTAAGTTTTCCACGAAATGTTGATTACTGGACACCATCCCCTATAGTAGGGGTATAACTGCCAAAGTAAATGATTAAAGAGCTCCCTCTTGTATCAACTCTTGCTCCCTCTCCCTGACTCCATTGTCTATTTGTGTTAAGATAAGATTGAATGATAGGAGGTTACATATACAAAGTATGTGTGATGCAACATGTTTCCATAGGTTTGTCTGTAATGTAAATCCAATGAAATTAACATAATCACTCTGGATATAGTTCACTTAATTCAATTGTTATTGTAGCTCAGATGATGATGTCAACTTCCGACAATTTATGCGAACTTTGGCGAGATTCCGCCCTCAGAAAAATAAAGAGAAGAAAGACACAGAAAGAGTACATCTAAACTCACGAGAAGAGAAACTCAGATGTAAGTTGACATTTTTTAACTCTGCAGTTTGGACCATTTTAATTTAGCAAGTTTGCTTGATGTTATCTCCCACCAGTTGTTGTTTTTGATGACATACTAAATGTATGGTACTTAAATGCCCAGGGGGTATGATGTAGCCTATTTTTGTGATGAACCCCTCAATGTGTATCTAAATGACACTTCAGCAATATATCCCATCTTTTCTTTCTGAGAGTTAACTTCCTTAACAACTTCTTTTCTGAAAAAAACATGTTTTCTGAGTAATAAAAATTCATATCTAATCTGAGACTTTGATCTCCCAGTGAGAAGATTTATATTGTGTTATGAATTATCATTCACATGTAATGATCCATTTACCTACTGTATCATCTCATGAGTAGGGAACAGTCTTAATTTAAACATACACACGATACATGTAATTACAGATGTTCTAAACCAAAACCTGGATTGTGAGTAAGTGGCTTGCAAAAAAGTTTTTTAGAATCTGAAATTCACCCTATGCAGACAGAGCCTGTGGGAAATATTGGGTGCGGTGCAAATGAGCGGAGGGTGCGGAGCTAACGGTCATTTTTGAATTTAAAATTGGGATATTTCTGAAACTAAGCCGTTTTGGGACTTCAAATATACCAAGATATGTGTATTTGACACCAAATACCAATAAAATTGTGAAAATAGTAGTGCAATTCATTTAATAGCGACGCAGTATGTCTTAAACATTTCCCAGACCTATATATTTTGAGACTATCCTTTTAATACGGCGTCCCCAGCATTCATAAAAAATGGTGTTCAAGATACACTACCCATGCAAATTATTTTTGCATCTTGGAAGCCAGGCAGTATCTGTGTGATTTTATAAAAATTCGGAAATGTTCTTCAGATATGAGCCCCCTCTAAATATTGGGTGCGGAGCTACGTTTATGGAGCTGCTCCGCACCCAATATTTAGAGGGGGCTCATATCTGAAAAACATTCCGAATTTTTATAAAATCACACAGATACTGCCTGGCTTCCAAGATGCAAAAATAATTTGTATAGATAGTGTACCTTGAACACCATTTTTTATGAATGCTGGGGACTCAGTATTAAATGGATAATTTCAAAATATATAGGTCTGGGAAAGGTTTAAGGCACACTGCGTCGCTATAGAATGAATTGCGCTACTATTTTCACAATTGTATTGATATTTGGTGTCAAATACACATATCTTGGTATATTTGAAGTCCCAAAACGGCTTAGTTTCAGAAATATTCCAAATTTAAATTCAAAAATGACCGTTAGCTCCGCACCCTCCGCTCATTTGCTCCGCACCCAATATTTCCCACAGGCTCTGTCTGCATAGGGTGAAATTGCTTCAATGAAAGTTTAGTACATTAACAGGAAATCATTGCCCTACAGGACTTTTAAAATGTGTTCCACTTCAATTAGCTTTTCACTTGACAGTTTTTATAGTAGTTTCTTTGTTTGTTTCAGTTGCATTCAAGATGTATGACTTGGATGAAGATGACAAGATTAGTAGGGAGGAACTGTTAGCAGTGCTACATATGATGGTTGGTGCAAACATCTCAGAGGAACAGGTGAAATCATACTTAGAAGCTAATGGCTGTTTTCTCTGATTGTTATTTCCAGAATTGTCCATTGTTTTGAGGAAATTCAAAACTGTTTCCCCTGAAATAGCACATGAAATTAAGACCTATGCATAGTATTCATAGTAAAAAGACTATAATACTTGATACTATCTATAATACTGTATGCATTTCATTTATACTAGGAGGAAGATACATTTTGTTGTTGTACATAGAGACCCTGATGAGAATACAATGGAATCAAAAAGTCTCACCATTAAAGTAATTCTATTACATATTAGTTAACTCGTACTTCTAAATGCACTTTGCAATATTTTCAGCTTGGTAGTATAGCAGACAGGACACTGTCAGAGGCAGACAAAGATGGGGACAGCAAGATATCATTCCAAGAATTCCAAGAGGTACACCCCATAAATATATGAACTAATTTTTTAAAGAGGGACATAGGGTATAAATAGGAGGCAGATTAATGGAACAGCCAAAATAACATAATTTTTGATATTTTCACAGAGCTGGTCAATTTTCTCAGATTTCATACAGATTGAGAAAATGTATTGCTTCCAAATTTGCAATATACATCATTCAGTGTTTTGATGTTCATATTCTGCAGAATAAACCAGCCTTTAAGTAGAATTCAAGGTCACCTGTTCAAGCCCTCACATAAAGTTTAAACCACTTTGTCTTACCCAATGTTATCAAAGTGTCATATGTGAAACTTTTTATTTTATTTTCAAAAAGTGGTTTTTGAAGGACTTTTTGTTCGAAAAAATCGTGAATTTCTTTAAAACTAACTTTTAGAGGTTACACATATACTTTAATAAGGGATAATTCATACCAATGCACAGCATTCATCCTCAATTCCTCATATGTATGCCTCTTGCAGGCAATGTCATTTGAGTGTTTGCCTGATTGCAGAGTTCTAACTTTGATTGAATTGTGTCTTGCAGGCAATGTCAGTTGAGTGTTTGCCTGATTGCAGAGTTCTAACTTTGATTGAATTGTGTCTTGCAGGCAATATCATTTGAGTGTTTGCCTGATTGCAGAGTTCTAACTTTGATTGAATTGTGTCTTGCAGGCAATGTCATTTGAGTGTTTGCCTGATTGCAGAGTTCTAACTTAAATTGAATTGTGTCTTGCAGGCAATGTCATTTGAGTGTTTGCCTGATTGCAGAGTTCTAACTTTGATTGAATTGTGTCTTGCAGGCAATGTCATTTGAGTGTTTGCCTGATTGCAGAGTTCTAACTTTGATTGAATTGTGTCTTGCAGGCAATGTCAGTTGAGTGTTTGCCTGATTGCAGAGTTCTAACTTTGATTGAATTGTGTCTTGTAGGCAATGTCATTTGAGTGTTTGCCTGATTGCAGAGTTCTAACTTTGATTGAATTGTGTCTTGCAGGCAATGTCATTTGAGTGTTTGCCTGATTGCAGAGTTCTAACTTTGATTGAATTGTGTCTTGCAGGCAATGTCATTTGAGTGTTTGCCTGATTGCAGAGTTCTAACTTTGATTGAATTGTGTCTTGCAGGCAATGTCAGTTGAGTGTTTGCCTGATTGCAGAGTTCTAACTTTGATTGAATTGTGTCTTGTAGGCAATGTCATTTGAGTGTTTGCCTGATTGCAGAGTTCTAACTTTGATTGAATTGTGTCTTGCAGGCAATGTCATTTGAGTGTTTGCCTGATTGCAGAGTTCTAACTTTGATTGAATTGTGTCTTGCAGGCAATGGAGAGAGTTGATGTGGAGCAAAAGATGAGTATTCGCTTCCTCAACTGATACTGCGACAATGGAAGTGCAAATATGACATTCTTTTGCAGTAGCTTTAACAAAGGACATGTTTAACATTTGAAGTATAACAACATATTTACTGTAGCCATGACTATTCTAGCACTTGTTTTACCCTTTCACGACTATAGGCTCCATATGGAGCCCTATTATGTTATACCTTTCAGGACGATATGTTCCTTTCGGCACCACTATTTTGATTTTCATATATCAATGAAATGACAATATCTCCAGATCTATTCAGTATTTTTACATCAAATGTTATAATGCTTATTGAAAATTGTATTTTAGTGATAAAATTTAAAGTATAGGTTCCGGGTTATACATCATTTCCAGTTTTTACCTAAAAAATGCTCTTACTTATAAATCTGCCACCAGGCCAACATTTTGCTCTTATATTCATGTCGGGAAAGGGTTAAAGCAAATTTTAAAAATAGCTTTATAAGTTTATATCTTTGTAGCTATTGATGGAAAATGAATAGTGCTTAAGTGGCCATGCATATAGTACTTTACTTGATTACTGATATGATTTATCCAAAGAGTGCCATAAGGATCGAATTGTAAAAATGTACAAAATACTATATTAAGAATACTGTATTCTAAAATATTTAGGATTTTAGCCGCAATAATATCGCTTTACTGGACTCTTGATGCAAGGGACTGTTACTCAAAAGCATTGTTACAATATGTTGACTGAATTATGATTATACCACAAAACTAGGATGTTGGAATCAAGATTTTACCCCATTTGCTGAAAGTGTTTCATTGTCTTTCCTGTGTGATCATTAATGAAGTGTAGCATATCAAAGTCCTCAAGTGCAAGAAAAAAACTAATAATTTTATAGATTTTTAGTCTACAATTATAGTAAAGATAAGTTTTTAGAATTGTACATGAACATTTGTCTCTGGATTTAAGAGCACTTGAAGCATTGCATAGGGACATGATAGATGGTTCATCACTCTCAGAGTTATTCCATGAAATATGGGTGGTGGTACTTAAACAAGCTTTTCCCTAAATCTAACAGTTACGTGGTGAAACTTTCAGATGTTTATGATAACTTAATTGTTGTAAGATAAACAAATTCCAGGAATATTCCTCGTTTGTCTTGTTTCAAATGTTTTTTGGACAGCGTGTATGTTGAGAAACATATGTTAGTTGTAATGCAACATATTTACAGTTAGGTAGTATTTACCTGATATTAGAGAGATTTTGCAACTCACTTATAGCATGTTGGTGAAACAAATATTTAGACACTTTCTAGTATAACTTATGGAGTGTTTGATTTCATCATCATTTATTGCACAGCTCTATACGCCCATAAATGTGTTCTTACGTATAGACAATGATTTATAAGAATATCACACTTGCGGACGTACAGAGCTGCGCAATAAATTATGGCGCAATCAAATGCTCCATAAGTTAGACATCATACAGGAATAATAAACATGCTATAAGCAATAACATTTCCCTAATATTTGTTTTAACTCAGATTTCTCCGCCAATATTACATCTTTTAGGGGTCATTTTCAAACAAATATTCTTAACCAAGATTGGGAGGTGTAATTCATGTTTATAAATCTAAATTCCATTTTTTAGATTCTGATTCTGATGTTAAAGATGTTGATTATAGGACAAATATAATATTTACTTGGACAGAAAAAAACGGAACCTATCAAAAGTGTCTAAATAAATATTTGTTTCACCAGCAGTCACACTTAAAAATTCTCATTTTATGGCAATCTATAGCAATCTAATGAAAGATCATAATACAATAATATAAGGTTTAGTGATGTGATCTTTACTTTGAGAGTACTATTTGTGTAAATGAGGTGACCTTTGTAATCTTTCAGATGACAGGATTTGCCTTCATGGCTGTGACTTTGTTGTAACTGTCTCCCAAGGGACAAAAATAACAATAAAAATGCAGTTTTTATGGAAAATAATTTATATTTTTACATTTTAAAGCCTGTAATATATGACAATAAATATAATATAATGTTAGAGATTAATGATAGTATTAATAATAAAAACACCTGTATGATAAAGAAAAATTGTTTTATTTGTGACTTGATATATAATTTTTTTAAACTTTTGCATTCCAAAATCAATTGGAGAAATTGAACCTAAGAGGCCCATAAGTTGTCAAATAAAATTGCACATTTGTATAGTTTCAAGGCAGTTTACGTATTGAATAAAGTATTTGCTATTGTTAAATATACACAGTAATAAATAGTCCTTCAAACGATGATGGCACAGACAAAGCTGTTTGTTTTTGATTGTGAATTAATAATCTACACTTGACACTCTAAGCAGATACAACAGAGGTTGAAATTTGAAATAACAGTTTCCCTTATAAGAATTACAAGACACCTATTTCTGACTTGAATCCATCAAAAAACTTATCAATTTTAATCCCTGAAATTGCTAGACAAGCATGATACTTATGTCCTTTTGAACTGTAGCTGTGGCTCAGGTCTGCTCCATTTCAAATTCAAGACTGCTTCGAGCAATTCTAAAGCAATCATTTACAGCTTATGCCCACATTCAATCACAATCAACTTTTACTCTGTAAAAGTTTGGTATAAAAGTCCCTCATCAAACCATGTAAAAGCTACATAAAATGAGTCAAAATGCTCAAAATAATCCATCTTCAATTGCAATATTGGGTTCCAAAAACACTACACGATATGTCTTATGTTGATGTGGACACTGCAAGTTTCTTGAGATGTTCCATGAAGACTTGTAAGCTAACATCATCAGTGAGTACAGGGGCGCCGCTATCCTGAAATAACAGAGAAACAAAGACTAATTAGACCAATGGGTGTATCAAAATAATTAGATGATTATGGGGTAACTGTAAAATACAGGGTGATCTAAATATAAGATATTTCACAGAGTGACAGAAGATTGTGATGGTCAGGGTAAATAGATATCACATTACCTTAAATAAAACTAAAATAGTACCTAATATCTTATATCTCCAGCCTTAGGGAAATCTAAATTCCGAGATAGCAGATTCGTTAAAGGATTTAAGCTCATGACTCAATGCATTGTTTGCTGAATCATACCATGAAGGTGTTGTTTCTTAACCTTTGCATGATCGTGCAGCGGGAATGCAAATTTTAGGAAACCATGCCTGAGTGGAATGAAGCAGCGTCATGCATTGAGTCGTGAGCTTAAATTTTTTTTCATACATTGCATTCTTTTCTATAAAATCATTTAATAGGAACAAAATCACTAAAAGAACACATTTTCAATAACATTTTTTGCAATGGTCAAGTTGCATGTGTTATTGATATTTCACACACTGTTCATTATGTGAATACTCTGTACGGATTGGCTGGAATCGGACACACCTTGCCTAGCTGTTTGGATATTACACATAACCTTATATAAAACATACCATTATAAGTATACCAAAGTAAATAAAGTAAATATATTATTTTCTTGTTTAAATCAAATAAATTGAAGCCAATGTGGCTGCCCTATACAAAGTAGAACAGAATAGTTATAGATGGGTAACTTCAATTTTGACAAAGACACAGTGCTCTCTCACATATCAAAATGCATTAACCTGAATTGCTCAAAGGCCTTGTGCAAAGTTTAAAAATATACCATATTTTGATAACATTGGGTAAGACTATAAGAATAGTATGAGTAAATGTGGTTTAACTTTATATGTGGCCTTTAAATATGGGATATAATATACATAACATTGCCATTTATTCAAATTTTTATCAATCTTTTGAAATGTACCTGAAAAGTGGAATTGGTTCCATTTATTGAGTATTTAAAAAGTTGTGACAACTTTTCTATCTTTTTACGTTTTGGTGAATGTAAACAAAGGAGGTTACTTCGCTTAATAACTGTCCCTATCAAAACCTTAAAAGATGGCAGCCTATAGACATTTTAAAGCACTACATTTTTAAGTAATCAATATTGACCTAAACATGGAAAGTATATGAGGTTATGTAATGGTTGATTCCGTATATCGTGTTTATACTGTACTAAAGTGAGTATATGATGTATTAACGAGTGACTGAAGGGAACGAGTGAATATATCATATACTCACGAGAATATAACGATCTACAGAATCAACCATTATATAATCTTATTATCCCACCCTAATCTTAAATCAGTAAAAAGGTTAATCCAAATTCAGCAGTTGTATATCAAGTCAAATAGTTGTATACGCTGCCCAGGAGTTGTATACGCTATCCAGGAGTTGTATATCGTTCTCAGGAGTTGTATACGATGAGTGTTGGTTTTATATTGCAGTTATACAATGCTATTATACAATCATATAAAGCACTAAGGGTGGGATAAATATGGTTATAGCTACCACATTAGGAGAGAGATTAGGCAAGGAATGTCTCTTTAACTTATTTGTAATTTGAAAAAAAAACACAACCTATGACATCATCAAGCTAGTCATTATATCAAATTTTCTCTGATGTATCAAAAGGTGGCAGGGTTCAATGTTCATATAAAAGTACTTTTGTGAACTGGTCTTGTTTTGCACATTCAAATCTCTTAGTAATCAAATGTGTATGTAAAAAGGCCAAAAGGAGCATGGAATAAAACAAATCCTATTTTAAACAAAGGTCTAGCAAGAAATATGCTTATGAATGTTTTAATGCATACTCATTGGCAGCCATGTATTGAACAAGCCAGCTCTGAACAAAGGAACCACTATTTAAGTGTACACATATTTATAGGACTGACTCATATCAAGCAATTATGTTGAATCACTGAGATATCTATACATATTACATTTACCTCATACGTACTTTGGACAAGGAAGCACACTAGTACAAATATCAGGTAAGTCATTTGTATGTTTATTTTTAAAAGTAGCTTACATTTACTTGTTGACACAATTTATAGTGATTGGTTATATCCCTTTATACTGATATATATATGAGTGCATAGAAATCAAAATTCAAAATATATCCATATATCTGACATGATCTTGATCTTTCAGGTAAAGCATAATGAATGTGAATAGGATCTTGGTGATATTTCTTATTGGTCTTGTACAATGGGACATTTGCCTGGGGTGTTCTGTAGTACCAGGATATAATATAAAAAACTATGGACCAGTGGAGACTCTGAAAAAAGCTCAAAATGTGGTACTTGCCAAATTCATCTTCAATAGCAGTAACATGGATCTTAATATTGGTGAATTTGAGGTACAATGTGTGTTCAAATCCTCAATTGCTGTGCAAGAGTTCCGAAACACGCCTATTGGTATAAGTGAAGCAGTTATGATGAATACCTGTCAAGGAAGTATGCAGATGCAGGAAAACAGCACATACCTAATTGCCCTTGATGCCACAAATTGCCCAGAGGCATCACATATTAAACACTGCTTCGGAATAGCAGAGCCTGATATACATCAACATGCTGTCTTTCTACCAACTGCTGCCAATTTACAAATGGCTGCAGATATTTGTGGATTCCCAAATGTGACAACTGTGCCAGTAAATGCTACTTGTCCCATGCGTAATGTAACAACAGAGACATGTATATTTACAGACAATGGTGCTGGAAATGTAGACACACTCGCCACCTTGATACTAGCAATGATTTCGATAAGTTTAGGAATGGTGTAGTTACATGTTTAGCATAATCTTGATCCATATTGTTGGACCAGGAAGTAGAATCAAAAATTGATTTAGTTTAAGATGCGATTCTTTAAACCAAATATGTTAGATTTGGTGAGACTGACTTTCATTTTACAAGACGGAACAGGCTATGGAACACTATGGACATGATTATATATATAAAATCAAATATAGACACAAACAATGTACATGTACATGTATATACGATTCAATCACCACTTAACTTGGCTTCTTCCATGCATGTGAAGAAGTGAACACCAGGACATACAATAAACTTACATAAAATGAAAGAAAATATAGATTAACAAAAATCTTCCCATCTCCATAACATTCACCATTCAAAAGTTACATAATAACATCAGGGTGCTTCATACTGACTATCCCCCATCCACAGCCAATCCTAGTTCATTATGGTCCCATAATCACAGTGGCTGTACCAAATTAAGCATGACAGTTAAACGTGAGGAAAGGTACAACATGAGGGTGATGAAATATGAGCAAACTGATGTTTTCATTGTTTCACAAAGATCTTGTCTAGTTTCTCGATATTTTTATATGTAAATGTCTGTAACAATATCCTAGACAGTAAACTTTACAGTGAATATCAAAGTCTTAACATACACGAACTGCGAATATAGAATATGGTATAACTCGCAGGTCAATTTACCTGACGTGGGGTTTACTGCAAATTCCTTGTGTTGTACCTTACCGTTACCCCGGGTTATATTGTATACTTCATTCTGAGTTTTTGTAGGTTTAACTATGAAATTCTCTGTCAAGTTCATTACCCTGCACATTCAACTGTCTTGCTTAATTTGATACAAACCCTGTGGTAATCAAGATATCATAATACTGGGCTTATGGGTCAAATATTGGAATGACTGATCATTGAGACGTGAACTCATGTTTGGTAGTCACTATCAACCTTGTTGCTTGATTTTCAATGAGTTAAAGTCCCCGTCTAAAGTTTGAAAATATTTTCTTATCATTCATTTACTATTTGCCAGGACATTTGTCTAACCAGGTTAAAAGGAAGAATAAATTATGTTTTAGATATCATTGTACCATTGGTTTCTATGAGAACTAAAATTTTGAAATGCATTTTTCTCAGAACCATTTTCATGCACTGATAAGTTCATTTCTCGCTTATTTATGAACCGATTCTCTTAATTTTTTCGGCAAAAAACATGGGAGGATGAATGCTATGCATTGGTATGAATTGTGGCTAATTAGAAGATATGAGTGACCTCTAAAAGTTGGTTTTAAATAAATTCACAAATTTTGGAACAAAAAGTCTATCAAAAACCACTTTTTGAAATTTAAAAAAAAAGTTTCACATATCACACTTTGATAACATTGGGTAAGACTACAATATAAGCCAAAGTGGTTAAAACTTTATATGGGGCCTTTAAGAGATTAGTAGATGGCAATATAATTCACTGTATCATTTAGAGCTCTCTGGAATATTTAATGACTTTTAATAGATTTAATAGTGGGTTTTCAACTAGATCATGGTCTAAGGCATGGTTATCTTTTAATTTTTGAGAAAGTGTGGCTCTCAGATTATATCAATATATGCTAAATAAAAGGTCAAATGGGTGCTTTTGTAGAGATTTGTAGCAAGTTATAAAAACTATTAAGCTTAGTTAAAGTTGTTTGAATAAGTCCAGAATTGAATAAGCTTTCATTCTATGATATAAACCATATAGGGCATATAGGATCTGTGGTTGTTGGGGCATGGTCATTATGAAACACCAAGTAGAATTTAAAAAAAGACAATCCATTCCCTTTTCCATATATGGATGTGTATCCATAGCAACAAACCTCAGAATTGCTGGAACTGACACCTATGCTCTACAAACAAAAAACATTTTAGGTGAACACAACACACAACATAAGGGTGCAGTATTGAACCTCCCTGTAAATATTGTATGTACGTTCTCTTTCTGTCTTCAGCTATTTTGTTTTTCCTTGGAGTTTCCGGGAATCATAATACTGAGATTTCCCAAGCAATATGGTTTTCTCAAGCTACTGTGCGTATCCTAGCAACATGGGTTTCATGAACTGGGCAGGTAACATGCAAGAAGACACAGGTGTTTTCTAATAAAATGCCTCACTATAACTGACATATGAATGCTTCTAATGAATTTCAGTATTAGTACAAGCTAATATATTTAGAGACAAGTGCAGATAGCATGTCAATTGTGGTTGGAAAGAGGAATTTTGTGAGAAGTCGTGTATTACAGTATAACTCTCCCAAAAATGAAACGATAAGACTAAGTTAGTGAAATGTGAATACCAATAAAATATGATAGAGTAAGTGAACAGTGCAGTGATTGCAATAGATGAATAAAAGAAGTTAAATTCTGTTAATAATGAGGAAGAATGGTGCAATTTGACCTTCCTATGTGAAACACCAAATAGGCCTTAGATTTTTTGAAAACAACATTATCAAACACAAAGGATTCATATCGATATGGTGAATTTTTTGAACACACGTTTCTCTTAGCCCAGCCATAAAAAAATTCTGAAAATTTTACACATCGGTCATCTTTTGAATGGTAACAATATAATTTGAATACTTTTTGGGAAATCAACCAAAATTTCCTTTCTATAACTATGATATTGAGAGGTCAAAGAGAACGTTGTTAAAAGAAAATGCAACCCAAAGAAATCGCTATATCTTGGAAAATTCTTATCCAATTGTGTTCATATTTTCAGGAAAGAAAGAAGAGACTGTGTGTATATATAGCTCCCGTTGTTAGTTGTAAAACATGATGTCTTGTACACCTGCTCAAAAGGCAGTCCTACATGGAAAATACAAAAAACATGAATGAAAAATCTCATCCTCATCTTATCCTCATTCAATGTGTGGTGAATTTGTGGAGTTTCATCAAAATCACTTCAGGGACTCTACAGTCATGGTCAAAATGCTTTCTGAAGTCTGTCGGAACCAGGGCGTTTGACTGAGATTTGAAAGCATTTCGATCATAACTGTAAAGTCCCTGAAGTGATTTTAATTTCACTTTACAGATTTACCATACAGAGAATGAAGTTGATTTGTGCCAAATTTGAAGAGCCAAAACACTATGGCTAGGAAGTAATTTAGTTTTTTTGCGGTTGCAGTCAGCCCTGGGTTTTTCGTATTTTCCTAGAACAACTGTCTTTTGAGCAGGTGTCCAATGCATCATGTTTGACAACTAACCAACTACAGGAGCTATACATACACAGTCTCTTCTTTCTTTCCTGAAAAAATGAACATAATTAAACTAGTATTTTTCAAGATATAGCAATTTCTTTGGGTTGCTTTTTTGAAACCCTGTATATGTTATTTTGTTCCATCAGGGTTCGGAGAGATATTATAATTCATTCTCAATAATTGGTAGAAAGGAACAAAAAACAATTTGACTAAAAACAAAAATTTTTAACAAAAACAGTTATATAAAATATATATAAATAATTTTCGCATTAAGTAAATTGTTGTCAATCAGTCAAACATTACATAAAGGACCATGTTTTTTTACAGAATGTTTTCAATAATTGGTTTAAGAGAAAAACATTGTTAAATTCAGTTCACCATATCGATACCTATCATTTTTTAACAATTGACATCTTTTGAAATTTGCATTTCCCAGCGCGTAATTTTGTCTTTTTTGCTACATAATTTCACTTTTAAGTATGAAGGCAAGTAGCATCCTTCTTCCACACTTACACTAGTTTCTCTCAGATATCAGAGAACAACAGTGAAACCTGAATCTGTGAACATATCTCTTAGTCTTAATTGAAAAAAGAACTCCACTTTTAGACTGGGACTTTGGTTGCTGAATTGACTAATACAACTGAATACATTCTAATGCAAACACATTTTCAGTTTTGGAATAAGTATGTCCTATTGAGTGACATGTCATGAGAACCTCTTTGAACCTTTGTTGCTCTGGTTCCAATGTTCACATAGACTGTTTTTTATACCTGCTTGGATCTGGTTTCTGTTTTTTCTCATTTAAACTCTATTTCCATTGATTATGTATGTGTTTCAAATCATGACCATTGTGACAATTTATTATATAAATGCAAAAGTTGATAAAAAGTCTGCTTGTTACTTACCCCACCCCAGGAATACATGTTGTTGTGTGTCTGTGATGGATTAACCTTAGACAGCAAGAATCTGGCCTGGAAAGAAGTATACAAACTGAATTATTATGTGCTGATTACAAGTACACCATTGCAATCCCTTGTTGTGACACCAATCCATGCAGTGACTATATCACATTCCCATGAATATTAAAAATAACCCAAAATAGAGCTTTTTATGAGTGATTCAAGGAAATATTCTTTTTATTGAGGAAAAGAAAACACATTTAATTCCAAACAAAACCTGTTTATCAAACAATACCATGCTTCCCATTGTATTGAAACATTTTGTGACATTTGACATACCTGAGAGCCTCCAGCTTGTGTGTCTATGTATCTGGGCATTGGGAACCTAGTCTGCAGAATCTCCTGGGCATCATCCACTGGGGCTTGGAGTAGCTGCTTGAAGTTCTCGTACTCTGGCTTCTCCTGGTACTTGGCCTTCCTCCATTGTGCTATAGTCTAAGTAAAGTAGGCAAAACATTGTACATTTTTCCATATTTTCATATTCCACTTTTTCCTTAATTTTAATCAATGACCTGAAGTTAGGAAACTATACTAATGTAACCATTTTGTTTCAGGCATCACCTCTCTTGCCGATTCCCCCTTCTCATCAATTTCCCTCTCTTGACCAGTTCAATGAGTCTAAGAAATACAATGTAAAATGTGGGGGTAGTCAGTGGTAATCCACTCTAGCGTCACTTCGAAAAACGACTGTTATGCGTCACATCAATCCCTGCACCTCCCTCATTTCGACATTATATCTACGCATGTTCACATCTGCGCATGCTCGCATCTGCGCATGCTCACATATTTAATAAGCACAACAAAATATATAAATGGCTCCCGACAACGAATTGTCAACTCGTGAGTTTTTCAGCTAGTTTCTGAATTAGCTGAATAGAACTAGAATAGAAGGTATCTGAAGGAAATAGAAGGAAACTGAGCCACAAATCACCTTTTATATTTAAGCTATTTCCTGGCTCCATATATTTTGAGATAAGCTTACCTCTCCATGGAAAATGACAATCTGGAAAAATGTGTCCATCAAAAGGATTCTGTCTGCAGTGATGCTACCACTGTCAAGAAGAACAGGCTGTAAAACATGAAATTAACATCACTTGAAGATTATAAAAGTCTAGAAATTATTTTTCCTGGCTACTTTACATTAACAGTTAAGTATATAACCTTAACTCATAAAGGTAATATAAATATATTAACATAACATAACATAACATAACATAACATAACATAACATTAACATATGCAGATGGATGTAGATAGAATACACAGAATAGAATCATCTATTGGTCTCTCCTCAAAGGGCACAATCAGAAATCATTAGGGCCAATACAAGAAAAACATGCACTCAAAAAACAAATATTTTTCATTCTAACAAATATTTTTCATTCTAATTCACAATACAGTATGGCATTAAAAAGATTTTAGAATAATAACAACCCTTTCCAAATAATTAAGTACAAACTTTAAATCATCATATCATACATGGTGTACATCTTTACTTACTTAAGGTTTTCTCAGTGAACCTTGACCTTTACTCAGCTTGAAAGCTTGATGTTTTTATGATAATTTACTAGGGGTATTTATTTAAGCACAACTGCACAAAGTGAGGCTTTATTTTATCTATTATACAGTCTTATAACTGCTTTTCACAAGGTTTTAAGAGCTTTATATGTCAGCTTTACAGTGAATATGGTTATAAGAAGTTAACAACTAAACAATAAACAAAGATATGCTGTTGAGAACAGAAAAAAGAAACAGTTTTAAGACTTTTTGAGTCTATCAGTAGAAGTTTGTAAGAAGCTGTGGATATATATAAGGAAAATGAGCTGGTTATGTTGAAAACATATTCATTGGCACACAAAATGGAACACACTATACTGTTCTTTCTAGCATGGCCATGCCTGATGCATGTGGTCTATGGAGCAAACATTCTTCTTTATCCATTCAGCCAGGGGGTCAATTCACGACTGAGAAACATGGAAAAAATGGCAGATATTTTACTCACAGCAGGACATAACATTAGTTTGATAGCTAGTAGTAAATATCATGAAGACCAAAGACAGATCAATCCCAGAATTCAAGTGCTCAAATTCGACATTCCTGAGGACACGTACTTGGGTAATGACCCGATTTGGGCAGATATAGCTGTAAATGGAACTGTAATGGATTTTCTAACTCAGTTCTCGAAAGTTCAATTGACATTCTGTGAAGGTCTACTGAAAAGTAGGTTGCTCTTGCGTATAAAGAAATCAAACTATGATGTATGTATCCTGGACTATATAGATTATTGTACAACTCTAGTGATTGACTACCTCGATGATGTTCCAATCATACTGTACACAAATGAAGGCTCAATTTACCAATCTATCATTACTGGCCCCAGGCACCCCAACCCTCTATCGTTCGTACCAGATATATTTCTTGGATTCACTGACACAATGGATTTCTCCCAAAGATTTGTAAACCTGTTTACTACAGTCTCAATACAAATTCTCTCATATTTTAACATTCGAAATTTGATGGCATTACGCGATAAATACCAGATCAACACCACTGTTAATGCAATGTATAGTGTCAGCGAGAGGGTAGATATGTTCTTCAGTAACAACCACATTGCACTTGATTACCCTCGCCCCCATATGCCAAATCACATTTACATTGGGGGCCTATATCTAGAACCAGCCAAGTCTCTGAATGCTAAATTCCAAGATATTGTTGATAATTCTCAGGGTGTTATCATAATTAGTCTTGGATCAATGGATATCCCTCCATTGCCAATGTATCAGTTTGAAAAAATGGCAGAAGTCTTCTCAAATCTCCCTTATACTGTGATTTGGAAATACAAAGGAATCAAACCAAAGTCAACAGGAGACAACATATACTTGTCACCATGGATACCACAGAATGACCTTCTTGGCCATTCCAAGACTAAACTGTTTGTGAGCCACTGTGGTATCAGTTCAACATTTGAGGCAATGTATCATGGGATTCCTGTGCTTGCTTTGCCTCTTGGAACGGATCAACCATATCACTCAAAGCAACTTACAATAAGAGCAAAAATGGCAATTGAACTTGATGCAAAATCATTTACTGCAGTTGAACTCAATGATGCAATCCTTAAGCTTTTCAATGATGCTTCTTATGCAGAAAATGCTCAAAAGATGTCAGGGTTGATCAAAGATAACCCACAGAATATTCGTGAAACATTTCTCTATTGGGTGAACTACACTATTAGATACAAGGGTGCCAATCATTTGAAATCAAAGCCTCTGAATGACTTGAATTTATTGCAATACTTTTGCTTGGATGTTATAGCATTGGTTATTACAATTCTCGGAATAGCACTTTTAATTACCTTTTGGTTTTGTAAACTCCTCCTTTCTAAGGTAAGAGGGAATGTGAAGAAAAAGAAAGAGTAATCAATACACAATGTACTCAAATGTCCAGTTTTAATGGAAAGAGAAACACTTCTTTTAAATCATAATGCAAGAAGGATGGTATATATACAAAATGACAATTTTTATAAGATCCTTTCTCTGCAAATAAATCCGAGTTAACTATTTGACATTAGACTTCAGTGGTTTTTGTTTACGTGTATTGTCACTTAAACACACGAACTTACTATAATAAGTCCTTAATTAGACCAGAACTCACAAAAGAAAAGTTAAAATGATAAGCATCTGTGCCATCTACTGGAAAATATAAGCATGACAGAATTGAGATTTGGTAATGCTTTGGGAAAATTGATTTATTGTGTCTTGGAAATGTTTTGCAGTTTTAAACTAGAAAACGGCAACTCCACGGAGTAGCAAATCCCAACGAATACTATAACAATATGAATCTGTGTTTGTCACAAAAAATATAAACATGGGATACATTAGAGATACATGTATATGAGAATTTCTACCAATTTTAAAAGCATTTGGGTGACCATTTAAGAGTTTTAAAGGCACAAATAATGACTGAGAATAATGATTGAGGAAGTTTCTGAAAATTCAGAAGGATTTCAAAATTAACACGAATTCCTATTGGCAGCCATTTTAAAATTTCTGAGGCACAAATCAGAAAGACAATACCATAGTAATGATCTACCCTAAACTTCCTTCAATTTGAGTATAATATAGCCATACTTTAAGGGGATCAGAAAATTATTGCGAAATCTCACATAATGAAGCCATTTTGAATTTTACGAGGCCCAAATTACAAAACCGATACAATATTTGCAATCTACTCTAAATTGCCTTTCATTTGAGTAAAATAAAGTTATACTTTAGAAAGATCTCAAAATGAATGAAAATTACCATTTTCCTGACCCCCCCCCCCCCCCCATACATGGCCCCTGGGGGTCATGGTGAAAAACTCAGAATTTATATTAAAAACTTCAAGCCATAATATTTGTTACTTTGGCTTAAAATGAAATACTTAAGATTTTCATGAAAAATTCCAGCCATCTTCTATTCACCAATATACACCTTTCCACCAAATATGAAGAAAATCTATGAAAATCTAACAACTGATTATAAAGGAATCCTGTCTTATTTACCATAATACACATTATTATGCTCATTGTCATTTTACATACACCTGAGCTTAAAATGATCAAACTCATTATTAAAAAAATTCTTGAGATTTCTAGATTAACTGATATTGTTCAGGACATCTATGTGTTATTTCCTATTTATTCCAGGCAATGTCAATGAACTTCACATCCTGCATACCGTATTCTCTGTAATTAGCGCCCAGGGCGTTTAGAAAATTGAAAATACATTATTTAGACCATTCTAATAAGCGCCCATGTATGAAAGAAATCAGAAATCCCGAGGAATTTCATGTATGGCAATTTTTCTTGACAAGAATGCATTTTCTTCAACATATTTTTATAATAATATGACAAGTGCTGTTATTGGAGAGAATACGGTAAAGATCGCTTAGACAATATTGACAGTGGTTGAAGACCCGTCTATGTCTAATTTATTTCCGGCACGCCCACTTTGTCATTATCGCCGATTACCTTCAATATTTCCACTAGAGACTGCTGGATATCGATCTAAAGTTATACATTATTTCTAATTTGATGAGAGATCATCATTATTCGTGCAAAAGTCGTGTAAAAGTCGAGAAACATTAAAAAGAAACCAGAAAGTTCACGACCTTGACATGCGCAGAACATCTGCGCAGTAGCTTTTGAAATTTCTGAATGCCGATAAAGAACAATTCCTTCATTCATTATGGACTATTTGGAGACAATATTAGCATGGTATGGTGTGGGAAGCACCCATCGATAGATATGTATCGAGAGGATGCATAGAATTACAAAACGCGTCGTGTTTACAGCAGTTTTAGGGTAAGTACTCTATTATCGCCCACTCCTGGATTTTGAGAAATATTTTTTTCCTGATATATTCTTCAATTCTTGTTGATTCCTCGATGTTTCTTGAACTTTGTGAAGCGGGGTGGGCGCTTATTAGAGAGTGGGCGGTAATTACAGAGAATACGGTAACTTTTATCCTGCATAACTATTATATTCAACATTCACATGAAGCTAATCCAATCAACACATTTAAACGGCCATGTCTTTTTCTCCACTCTCTATAGATGTTTTTACCTTCATTAGCAATCTATTGAATAGAATAAAATACATTTTGACTTCTAGAAAGCACTGCAATATGGCAATATTGCTATCTCATTACAGTAAATAAAAAAGAAATAACAGTAAAGTGGTTAATGACTCAAAAGACAAAAAACAGCCAAAGGATTTTTGAAATCACAATTATTGTCAAAACTTTATGAAATAAAAACAAACATGCAATCTTAAAAAGAAGTTTCAAAAAATACTTTGAAAAGGAACCATTTTATTTGTGAATTTCATGGTCATATACAATAACAGATGGAATCAACCACTTAATTAAGACATTATCAAAATATTCAAAATGCAATTAGCTGTTGCATGGTCAGACAGGTAATATTTTCACAAAATTCTTGGTATTCATACATTAATAAAGGACCCACGGTCCTGTGCTCACACAGTTTGGAACCTTCAGCTAGAGGAACATGTATATCCTGACTTTCAAACAATAATATTGATTTGCATTTGTAGTCTCAAAATTTGAGAAACTTAGATAGCACAGTTGTGTGACCTAGTTTGATGACCTTTGACCTTGAAAATTTTACTTATTCAGAGCTCAGTAAGGTCTTTTGTGATTAAGCTGACCAAAATTTACATCCAAAAATCAATTTGAAAAGTCAACTTTTTTTACCTTTTCGAAGGTCACTGAAGGTCAAGTAAAGGTCAAATCCTAAAACTAATGTCAGATTTGAACTCCTTGCAATTTGTAGATGATTTTCAAAAAAATTTGGTCAAATTGAAGCAAGTTGAAAAATAACTTATTTTTACTGTTTTTTTGACGTCAAATATCTCAAAAAAAATGGTAAAAATTTGATGCTGACATATATAGAGCAATATGTAGGGAATGCTTAAATCTAGTAATGATGTAATTCATTGCAAGAAATGATCAAGTATAAGGCAAACTTTGAGAAACTTGTCAATCACAAAACCTGCTATTGACTTTATACATGAGAAAGTTTCCTGAAGTCCTACTTTTTGTCAAATTTTATAGAGTAAACACTAAAAACTGTAATTCCAAGAGCTTTGAAATCTTCAGAGGACATAAGTTGCATATACAGCAACTACTACAAGTTATTTGAAAGTTCTACTTCAACAAAGTGTCTAGTATTTACAGAAGAAAATTTGACTTTTTGGATGGAGGGACGGATGGAGGGACCAATGGACGGACGCCTGGTCGATCCCATAAGCTCACACAGAATTGAGAACATATAAATTCTACAACTGCGTTAAACTGGGAGAATATAGTAATAACCTCATTTAAAAGGGCAACATAGTGAAATTTTAGCCCGAAGGCCTGAGAGCCAAGATTTCACTATGTTGCCCATTCTCTATATTCACAGAAATTCATTTGAAAGATAATTAGAGAGACTACCAACAGAAAGTTGAAATAAGGTATTTCCTTACCTCTGGTGGGCCATTGAAAGAGTATGCATAGAGAATTGGCTGTATCATTATAAGAGACTGCGTTAAATCCTCTCTCAACAAGGCATGCCTGAAATAATAATAAAAGCATTTTTTAGATAAGGTAATGATAAAGTACTGCAGGACATGTTACTTTATGTACATGTAAATTCATATTCGATTCTCTAATTTGCAAAACAAATGGCTTTGAAAAAGTCACTTCACCTTGGTGGGAATCAAAGCTAATAACCTCCAAACTAGAAAAACAGCAACTCAACGGAGTAGCAAATCCCACCGAACAAAACATGTAAAATACACATACACCCTACAGTAATTAGCATAGAAACTGTAATCAGGTTATTTACCTGTAGTATGAGGTCTCATCAGGGCTGTTGTTAAATACTTGTAGGAACTGGGACCTCCTCATGTGGAACATAAACTGGGGGTAGAGAGAGAATTGTTCACTGAACCGGAAAGAGTTAGGATCATCTTTATTATACTCTCCAAACTTTTGGCACTGCAAACAGATAGATTCATTGAGAATGTTATTATAATAGGTATCACAATGTGGTAAATTTGTATGATATGGATTGTATTGAATGGTATGATTTGACATTGTATGATATTGTATGACATTGGTGATATTGAAGGGTATGGTATAATGTATTATCCTACACTTAGTGTACTAAATGTATAATAACATTAAAAAATAAATTTGATATTTATTGGCAAATTGAATATCCGGAGGATATCGTAACGATATACTCCGGGCGGAGGATATCGTGACGATATACTCCGGGCGGAGGATATCGTGACGATATACTCCGGAAAACCCAATATGCGGAGGATATTGTGACGATATACTCCGTTTGTTGATTTCCCGCCAAATTGACTCTATTTGGCATGGAATTCATTTTGCAATGATATTATACATTTAGTACACTCCTTGTAAGTGTAGGATAATAAGAACATCCTATGATTTTTTCAGAATATCATTTTAATCTACTCGGTGATATTGATATATGCACTCGTTCGCTTCGCTCTCTCGTGCAGATATCAATATCACCTCGAAGATAAAAATGATATTCCTCAAAATCATAGGATATCCTATAAGTATGATATGGTATAGTATGACCATATGATATGCTATGTATCAGAGGGTATAGTATGATATAGTGTGCTATGATCTGGTATGGTATTGTATGATGCTGTATTCTCCCTAATAGACACACACACTCCAATAAACGCACACCCGATTTGTAACAAAAATCAAGAAAAAATAAAATTTATTCAAAATATTGACTGAGCGTCAATAGGGCTAGTATCGAATAATTCACTTAAAGTTGTACTCAAACCATTTTACTCGATTTAGATATATTTATGCCATCTTACCATATTAATGCCACACTTTACGATGGTGAACCATCAACAATTCCAAAAGTTCATTTAATCATGATATCGGGGATATAAAGTCACCACGTGATTGTATTCGTGGCAAAACTGATTGCAATTTCAGAGCAGAAATTTCATGACGTGTGTGGCTGAAACAATTTGCTGCGAAATACGATTTTGTAGATAAAATGAAACCCTGGCTTTCAAAACCAAGTTATTTGCTCTTATGTTGAGCCAATTATTACACGATTGAGGCTATTCTCATCAATTTCGCAAAGGGTATAATATCACTTGCAATTGATTGGGGAATCAATCGAGCTGAAACGCTATTGAAAGCATGTAAGTTCTATAACAGCAAACATTGCCAGTGTTTGGGATTAAAACAAAATACATGTATAATTATTGGGCTAACATTTTCAGTTATCAGTATACGGTTTCGCAAATACATTTCAATCAATTCCTTGTATATGTAATGAATAATATTGCACTGCTCTTTCCTCAAGAATTTCTTTTTATGAAGTTCAGTCAATTAAAAATATTTATTTGGCTATTGGAATGCGTGCAAATGTGGAACTTATGTATATTTCTACTTTGGTTCAGCCTTTTCTGAGTAGTTTGCAACAACAACTTGTTGATTTAGCGCCAGAATAACTTGGCAAACAGTACGTCATTGTCAGGTGACCTCAAAAAGTGCGCAAAAATAACATTTCAGAGGTTGGCAGTCTTATTTTAATAAATTGTGTTGTGTGGGGAAATATCACAAGCTTTGTAGTCAAAATAACAAAAGGGATGCTATTTGTGCAAAAACAAAATAATAAGAGATTCTTCAATTGGTTTTAGTACAACTTTAACACTATCACAAGGATGATATCAATATCTCCCGAGTGAACGCAGTGACTGAGGGAAATATTGATATCATCCGAGGGATATTCCTCATATCATCCCGAAAGGTGAATAACAACCTTATACCATGGTCAAAAGCAATATCTATCTAAAGTCCTCTGTTGAATGAGAGAAAAAATGTTTGACTCTCAGGAATATTTAAGTTCCCACCCTAACATGCATTGAGAATTTGTGAAAAAGGAAAACATTATACTTAAAATAAATTGAAAAATTAAATTTACTTTTAAACCCAAATTGAAAAAATGAAAATGTTCGAATAAAATGAACATTTTTGGAACAAATGAAAAATATTTAAAAATGAAAATTTTTCGAAAATATGATATGAAAAAATGAAAAAAATGTAAATTTTTTTATCAATATCAACCCTGATATCATCATCTAATCCTGATATCATCCCTGTCCCAAATATGTGATTTATCACTTGCTAATATATACCTGATATTGCTCTGACCATGGTATAATATGTTATCTAGTCGGAGTGAGTCCAGTTTTAAAAAGGAAAATCATGAAATACATGTACGCTATTATCGCTCACATATGTACCATTCAAAAATCCCCAAGAACTTGCAATTGAAGACCAGGATCTCCTCCAGGAGAATTGGAAGACACACTGAACATTTATGAGAAAAAATATGGTATGCAAGTTACCATAGGGTATGAAATGGTCTAGTGTAGCATGGTATGGTATGATATGGAAGGTATCAGAGGGAAAAGTTATGGTGTGGTATGGTTATGTTATAGTACGATATGAATCTAAATGTGATATTGGACGTTCAGTGGTATGATTTGGCATTCTATCATATGGTAATAGTATGGCATGGTATTATTGTATGTATATAATTGTATGGCATGGTATTATTGTATGTATATTATTATATGGCATGGTATTATTGTATGTATATTATTGTATGGCATGGTATTATTGTATGTATATTATTGTATGGCATGGTATGGTTTTGCATAATGTATCAATGCATTTGGTGAAATAAAATAAAATGAACCTCTGCTTCAGAAAATCTTGCTCTAAAAGGACATTTTTCTTAAATGTCAATGTAATCAGAGAATGATTACATTCTCTTCTTTGATTACTCAATACCTTCCCTGGCTAAACATCTTGTTGTTTCAAAAGAGGCCATTCTTGTATGAAGGAATACAATGTCCACCTTGGTATCTGCATGCCAGGTGCTAATTAATATTACCTTTATTGAAACTTTAAAGTCACAAAACATTTTTCTCATTATCAAGAAAAACTTTATGTTACTAAAAAATTTATCAGCTTAGAAACGGAGTCATAGAGATGCTTGAAACTAATGACATTTTCAATTGCCGACTGTAAAACTGAAACACTAGAAAACATGAAAGACTGTAAGTAAAAGTTACATGAGGACACAGCAACCAACAAATGTTTCTTTTTCTATTTAGTCATGATTTGCGAAGGTGGAGTTTAATGAAAACTAAATTGCATGTCTGGTAAACATCCTATTTCATGTGCTATCAACATTTTATACCCCCGTCACTGTCAGACTGAGGTGACATCCTTACTGCACTGCTAACAACAGAAATTGGTTTCAGAGCATGTAAAGGTCGCTATAAGCGTGGTAAAAACGCCAGACATAGTGGTGTGGTCTCCATGGTCACCAATGATCACCGAGTCACAGAGTTTCTTTCGAGCATATTTAAAACGAATGTTAAGGTTCTGCAATCTGACCTGAAATGCTGTGAGAATGCGTTGGGGTCGTGAAGGTCATGAGACAACCGGGTAACAGCTCCTTGAATGTAGTACATGCACAGTTCACACGTGGCAAAAACACTGTGAAAACTTTAATATTTACAATGGCAATTTTTACCACGACCATCGCATGTCTACCATAAGCCTATAAAGCATTCAGACCTCAATAGAAATGTCATGAAGGTGGAAAAGTCATGATAGGCGCGCAATAAGAAGGTATTGCACAGGTCGAAGTAAGAATGCGGCTCTTTTTCAAGTTTGTAATTTTTAGGACACTCTCTCGCAATGTGTGAACACGTATAGTCGCAGCAGTGCAGTAAGGGGCGCCACCCGGTCTTTATATTAATGATAACATCACCAGGTGGATACTTAACGCATACATGTAATAATAGCAGAGCATTAACAAAATCCTCCTGATCACTTACTGTTGATGCACAAATGACTACTGAAACAGAACTCAACCACTTGTCCTTGACATTGTTTATTGAGATCTACTTACAGAGAGCCCGGGGGTTCACTCTAAATAATTTGGGGAGGTATTTGCAGCACAGGCAATTTTGGCTTTGAGCATAAAACATGGAAATTGGCGAATCTGAGAGGAAAAAAACATGGAAAATCTTTCGAAGAGAGAGCCCTTTTTAAGTCAAAAATCAGTTTTTCTACAAAAAATGATAATAAATTGGTAAAATCAGTTGGCGAGGTCTGGGACAAATTTACTCCCTTTTATAAATCTGACAGGAAGCATACATGGAAACTTTCTTGAGAGGAAATTGACACGGAAAAAATGCTCAAAATGGGGGTCTTTGGCGCGGCACAAAGGTATTAAGAGTATATTGGAGTAAAACCCCCGGGACAAAGAGTAGCAGAGCGTGATTATGTTTATGTTAATGAGACAGATTAAGTGGATAAATACAACCTCTTAAATTGTGTCACAACAAAATTATCATTGATACAGAAGAGATAATTTATTTTGGTCAATGGGAAATCTAGCTGAACTTATTTAAAAAAAACTATTTATCAATTTCTATGTAAGTTCAAATATGGCATAACTTTAGCCTAACTCTTGATATTCAAAAACAACAATCAAGGTAGTATCTAGTAATGCCTAATCCACTCTACTATACCTAACCCCTAGAAATGCATAATATACTCTGTCTAATTGTATTGTTAAGTATATTTTTGAAAGTACCTTATTAACATCTAAATCATATAAAAACAAATAAGATAATCATTACTAATAAGCCAAATGGGTTGCTCATGAACACCAAATGCAAGGTGTAGTAGAGTGTAATCTACTGAGCCTCTCATCTTACCAATCTAATAAGCATCCGATCTATCCAGCGCAGTACATCTGGGCCATCATCTGTCTCTCCCCTGAACACTGCAAGTCTTGCCATTAATACAGCTGATGCCTCCTGATCAAACCCTGCAGCAATATGCTGGATATTCATTGATGCATCAACCCAGCTGCAAAACAGAACCATATCTATATTTAAAGGCGATGTCACTATTGCATAAGTTGCTGAGTTCTGTCAATAATAGGTTGACCTTGGGACCACTGATGTATTACATACTTTATTATTCCCATGGCTAATTTGGATGGTAACTGGACAACTCTTCCCCTGTACTCATCCCCTGGACAACTCATCCCCTAGACAACTCATCATGACAACTTGGCATGTTTGAGTAATCTAATGTTATATTATCAATTCATAATTGATATTCAAACGATTTTTAAATGTTTTAGTTATGAACATGATCAGTTTGAGTTTCGAAAACATATATTAGATATCTACATGAACAAAGACTTTCTGGAGGGGAAATCTGGAAAATTGTTTAAAAAATGATGATATTGTCAAGGAGATAATCAAGCAATTATTCTGTGATTTGTTTTGTAAATATTTATTTTTAATATACAATTTCAATATTATATTAACATTGATTTAAGAAGCTCCTTTTATGTCATAATATGTTTGTTGTTCCATAGCTCAACTTTTCTTTAATTCAAGGATTATTTTTTCACAGCATTCACAGACGAAGTTACTTAAGTTCATGTTTCCAATTCATGCAGAAAGAAAACTAGAATTTTTTGTCATGAAATATTGAGTCATGTAATATGAGCACACTTTTACTGGCATGGTTTGACCAAGAAGGACTGGCTCCCAGAACGCAACATCGATATTCTGTCCCATATATGGGCATGTCGTGATACAAAATTTGAATTCAAACAGCTGCCATTTTGTTCACTTCAACATTTGAATCCTGAATTTCGATCTTATTTCCTAACGAAAAATTCCCAAAATCAAAAGAAATGATCGAGATATTGGTTTGAATCTTTTGAACTGCTTATTTTGAATTTATAGTCGGTTATAATTTCAGAAAAAAATATGACATTTCGACATAATCATTGTTGGAAAATATCGAGTTTCGGCCCTGGGAATCAATCTTCCTTGGGTTTGACTGATATCAAATAAGAACTTTCAGAATTTTGTGTCACTAAAGTGAAAAATAATATTTTGAGTGTCCAGATGTGTACTTATTTAATATTTCTTTTCCAAAAACACTTAATTATAGAAGAATCACTCATGCGTACTTTCATGCACTTAAATCTTTTATAATTCTTATAGCAAAGACAATAGATTTTTGTGAAATGGCCAACATTAATATATTTGACCAACAGTATATACTCATTGTGTGGCATTTTTGGTTGGACCCCATTTCATGTGTTTTAAGAGCACCATTTGAATAAGCTTGTTCCAATATTTAACTGTCTAATGTGGCTAGAAGGTAGACTGACAAAGAAAATATATTTTACCACTTAAATAAAAATACATGTACAGTGATAATTAAAACATTAGACTTGTACTATAATGTCTCACTCTTCCTAATCTTATGTTTGAGAGTGTGGGTGAAGGGACAAAACTGGACTAATATATCCAGAAATATCTTACTTTCTGGCTACAGTTGTGACTCTGACTCTCTTCTGGCCACTGGAGTGTTGGAACTTTGTGATAAACTGGATGTAGCCTCTTCCTCCTTGTGGTATTGGGGCATTATGCTGAAAACATACAAATAAAACATTTTTCAATAGAAGATTTCACCCTACAGAATTTATATTGATACCAAATAGTATTTTCAATAGTTTCTAAATCCTAATATAACAAAAAGACATGGGCATCCATTTGTGTCCAATGAATAATGATGTAATTGTTTCTTAATCCTTATACATGTTATACTACTGCTTTGACTATGAATGTTCAAAAGTAATGTATATTCCATAAAAATATTTTGTATTTATCAAATAAATAGCTGGCAACAAAGAACATAGGCTTCATGAAATGATATTGGTCTGTTTACATTAGTATAATTCCTGGACAGATATATTACAGTGATAATTTCACATAAGAATGTTATTAGAATATCAATAAAACTCATATCCGGATTACCAATTATTGCATTGCATTTCTACCTTGAAATATCTAGATGAATCCAGATGTTGTTTTCCATCAGATTTTAATGATTTAATCTTACATTTAGATATTGTGACTGACCCCTACATGTATGTGAGGAAGGGGGGGAGGGCAGAAAGACCATTAATCAATTAATCAATAATAACAGTTTTTAAAATCATCTTAATCTTCAATCTCTATCAACAATTGAGGGTGGTACACATTTGTATGGTACCTACAGCTGGTACACATTTAAATGGTACCTACAGCTGGCACCTACAGTTGAAAAGCATCAGCTGGACAGTATAAGGTCATCTCTCTAGCTCTATTTACCGCTTTGTAACATTTCCACACTTATCACTAATGCACTATGTACTCATCTCCGTGTTCTCTGTACTATATAAGGTTCGAAAGTGAAGTACAGTAAAACACATTTCAAATAAAAATACCTGTCAAAGTGACCACTTCTCTCTGCTCATACTAAGAAAACCTTAAAAGAATGTAGGCTGATCACAATCCATTTACAATTATTGTTTTATCTGCATAAAAGCAGTGGTGATATTACTCATGATCTGGGATTTTGTAATTCATAATTCATGTACAGTAACTCTTTGCATTCATTCGACTTCACTTCTTGAAAGAGAGCTGTGCCTTCACTCTTTCAGTTTACAATAAATCTCTGATCTCATCGAGCCAATCCAAGTTCGTCTTCGAAATACAGACGACTTTCTATATGGTCATTTCCTCTGACATCCCGGCATAGTTAATGAGCACGCATTTAGCACATGTTCCTTCAACTTCGCTGATTGGTTGAGAAAGGGTCAGCGTGGTAAATTTGAAATGATTTATCACCTGGGCTGTCACAGGCACCAATCTTTGGAGCGGGGCTGCTAAACTGTAATATAGTCTATACTAGGCAGAGGGTAGTTTATAACTAGACTCTGCACGCATGGTAATGTACAGTATAAAAATGATCTATAATACCCTATTGAATACTGACAACTCCAAGAATGTGAATATGTATATTGTATTGAACAGTACTTGTATACTACAGCTGTTTTGGGCCCAAAAAGAATTTTGGGCCAAAAAGGCCTTAAGGCCCCAAAAAGTGGGCCTTTTGATCATTACTGGCCCTGTTGAGACCTTATTTTTTAATTCCAGGCCAAATTTTGAAGAAAATGGGCCTCAAAATTTCAAAATTTGGGCCCACTCTTGGGTTTCAGGGGCTCAGTTTTTTTTCTCTGACCCGAAATTTGGGCCCCCCCTTGTTGCTTCCCAGATCCGCCCCTGGTTTTTGCAATATCGCTTCATCATTTAATTGTTTGTATGAAGATCACTTCAGGAATGTAGCTAGTAGGTTTCATTGTTGTCTATGTCTATTTGGGATGACAAAAGTGGAGCATTAGTAAAGAAAATAATACTACAAAGATACAGTTCTATAATTGAAAATATTAAGTTAAATAATCTTACATACTAGTTTTCTGCATGAAAAAATCAAAATCTTCGATCTTCGATCAATTTTTTCACAAATCTATCCATTTTTGACTGTTTCTTTAAATTTCAAAATTCTTCAAAATGCTGAACTTTTTATGATTTATGTCCATGCCATGGAATTACAGAAAACTAGTATCTATGTCATATGATTAGTCTGAAGACTTGAATAAAACTTGGCCAGTAAAAGTACATAAGTCATTAGGACTTGCCAAAAGTGTTCAGATTATCAGGTATTAACATTTCAATTTTTAGCATGGTCGTTGAATACAAAATTGGTACAGGGAAAAAGTGTTCAGATTGAGAGGTGTTCAGATATACAGGTTTTACAGTACAGGATAATTAAAATGAGTATCATCTTATTAAAAACATACACAAGCTATATATAGATTACCAGGTGATATAAATAACTCTAATTATCTATGATTTTCCCTGGGTACATTATCCTTTCAAAATCTGAAATGTAACCTTGATACACACACATGTTTTACACAGCTTTCTAATTAAATTCCATAATACGCCTCTTCATTCAAAAGACATACTAACACATGTAACAGGCGGCATTATATTCTTTTAATATTTCATGAGGTACAATAAAAACTAATATATATGACAGTTCTAAAACTGCATTGAAAAATGAAAAAAATGAAGAGAGTTCTTTCATGAAGGATAACACATTACACAAACAAGTGAATTTGTTAGAGAATCTCACAGGTAAATTTTTTATCTATTTGCGCTGCAATAACTAAACCTGGCGTTTTGATCATTTATTCATGCAAATCGCTTAATTAAGAGCTTGTTTGTACAAAGAGCATGTGGTAATCAAGAAAGGAGAAAAACGAACCAGTAAATATATCATAAATCCAAGTTTAATCACATCCCTATCATGCAAAGTGAATTCTAATCAGTAATAATGAGCACCTGCAAATGTTTGAATTATCAATCTCTGTATTATCTGTCTTGTATGTTGCACTATCAAGGTTTATGATTAGATGTTAAGGCACAATGTTATGGAACATGTTTAGATGACATTGTTTTGTGTTTAACAACTCTGGCATGAAGCATATCCTACCAAAATATTTAAGATACCAAAAAATTGAAAGAAAAGCATAATCAGACAATAAAGTGGCAAACCTTAGCTATTTTGATTTAAAACTCAAAGCTTAATAATTGTATCATTTCAATATATTGTATTTTGGAGCACACATACTTCCCCGAAGATAAAACAGTATACATGTAATAAGTAACACTTTCCTAATGTTGTTTTTACTTCTCTCTACTGGAATTACAATATCCAGGCCATTTAGACTGAACATAGCATGAAAAAATTATCAATTGCATGAGTGGACAAGCAGTTTATAGTTCCACATATTGAGAGAAAAACGAATGTATAATAAATAAATTAACGGTTGAGATATTCACTAAAGAACCTGAGCTATCATAACTTCCAGATATTTTTATATTCAATTGGTTCAATTATATGACTGGTTATGCTTCTGGTAGAATGTTGTCAACACATCAATCTTATCTCATATTAAGGAGTCCTGCACTTTCAGAAAAAATAAATGAGCTTAACTGCAACAATCCTTTATATGTATTCATTAGATTTAGTAGAAACATGTACATTACAAAATCTTGGATGAAACTGACTGCATCCCTTTTAATATTAGTTCTGATTTTGTAAACCACTAGATTATAAGAAACTAAGGCTGAACTAAGAATCTACATTAGAGACTGATGCTACACTAACTATGAAAACCAATTTTATGATATTTTTTGGTGGATTAAAAACCATTATAGACTACTCCCTGAAGAATTATATCAGGGAACATTTAAACCATCCTTGGTCAAACGGTATTTCACTTCATTCAATAGCTGTATGGCAGTGAAGCCTGATCTTTGATGATTTAAACAGTTATTATTACTCTTGTGCTTAATGTGTGTATGGGGAGGGGGGATGAGAATGAACCCAGTAGATGATTTTGAAAAAAAATTGGTCAATTTGAAACAAGTTGAAAAAATACATTTTTGACCTTGAAAAGGTCACTGAAGGTTGAATCTTAAATATAAAGTCAGATTTGAACTTCTGAAAACTTGTAGATGATTTTGAAACTAGACAACAGCAACGCCAAAGCGTAGCAAATCCCATCGAACAGCCATGGCTGGCATTTTTACAAACAAAGTATTTAGCAAAAATGGCGGCCATTTTTCAAAATGACCACAAGTGTCATTAGACAGTCTACCACAAGTGTCATTAGACAGTGTGCCATGCTTATAGTATTCACGTACCAAATATGAACAGAATCGCTCAACTACTTTTCGAGTTATAGTAAAATAGGATAAAATGATGGCCATTTTGAAAAATGGCCACCTTCTTTCAAAAGTGTCATTAGACAGTGTGCCATGCTTAAAGTATTCACATACAAAATATGAACAAAATCGCTCCGCTACTTTTCGAGTTAGAGTAAAATATGTTAAAAATGTTCTATCAAAAGTGTCATTAGACAGTGTGTCATGCTTATAGTATTCACATACAAAATATGAACAAAATCGCTCTACTACTTTTCGAGTTAGCAAAAATCATAAAATAGCGAGTAAAGGCCGCCATTTTTCAAGATGGCTGCCATGTGCTTCTTTAAGATCTACATTTCTAGCTTTATTAATGTCCTATATCATTTTTTACATTTAAAGCATATTGCTATTACAGTTTTACATATTGTACCTAAATTACTGTAAAATTGGCACTAAAATGACCGCCATTTTTGAATGAGCAGCCATTTTGAAAATCGGCTTTAGGGCAGAACTTCTACCCCCATAGGGTATATGTTTACAAAATATGAACAAACAGGCCAACAGTATTTGAGTTATTGCCGGGACTGATGGACGTACATATGGCCAGACGGACGGACTGACAGACGGAGGCGTTCCCTATATCCCTCCAAACTGAAGTCAGTCTAAACATTATTTGATAAGTTATTGGAAGTTTTAAGAATTTGTTACAGATGCCAATCGCCGTCACAAAAAAGCGGAGACCATAACAATATGTCACCACTTTTTGGTGGTGACATAACTAGTGCTTACAAGTATTTTTAGCTTTACCATGAGAACTTCTAGTGAA